TGAAACTTTGGCTTCTTCATCCCTGACAATAATGTCTGTTGGTTGGTCGCGCCCATGATGCCCTTGCCCGTCTCAATACGTACATCGCTGTGAGACCTCCCTGTTTAGGACCTTCAATCCTCTCACAATACGGAGCCCCTGCCACTCTGTCCTGTGAATGAATAACGTCTATTTTAGAGTTATAATACGTGATAGTCAAAAACTCTTGGATGCGAAATGGAATGTCTATCTTGATGTTCGTGGTACCGAGATGGTTCTCATTGGAATCGATAGACATACTACCCACCTCACCGTGCCAGGCGATGGGCATCGTGCTTTCTGCGGTCTTTTGACAAAGGCAGATTTGATTTCCCGGTACCCTAGTGCTGGCCCTATATAGTTCCTTTCCTGCATGCCACCAAGGGTGAACAGAAGCAGGCCGTGTGGTGCTTCTTCGAGCATGGCACGATCAAGCTCTCCAGCCATGGCCTTTGTATTTTGTGCAACGAGATCTTTGGAAACTTTCAAATATAGCACGGCTAAGCTCTTGGAAAAGCATCAAGTCTCCAGCCATGGCATTTGTTAGAAAAGGACTGTAATGTAGGTATGCTTAAAAAAATCTTGTGATGTAATCTTGTGTGTGACCTGGTCTTGGGGTACCCCTCGCTCGCTACCTAGTAGTTATTTCGTAGGAACCTAATCTCTCCATCTTTAGCCAAGACGAGCTATCGCTGGACACCCGACCTCTCTGTGACGATACGAGAAATCGCCTCGGGCGTACCTATCTATATTCAAATCGTGCAACTACGAGGTCTTCTATGCGGCAATAAATCGATGCACATGGATTAGTCCCGAATTGATAAATTAGCATATGTTTTCTTTTGTTTCCCAATCGCCAAAAGATACAGATGCCTGCTTGGACCACCCTCTACAAATTGACTGTCTTGACGGATGACTGCTAAGATCGACCTACAGCTATCACTCCTCATGGCGGAAGACGATCCAGGTTCGTAGCGATCTCTCGTGTTAAGACCAGATATGCAAGCTAGGTCTCTACGAATTAGCTATTACTACCGGCATCTTCTAGGTCAGCTGCAACACGATCACATGCCGTTTTAACAGAAAAACAAAGAGGTTGAGTCCCTACGAGTTGAAGTCACAACAGCTGAATGCTGGGCTTAGCATACAGCAATCCTTCATCTCAATAGTCGACAGTTTGCAACTGTCGCTACAAGTGATAGCTAGGTCAGCTGTAAATTAATCGTTGGTCTTACCAGCAGAGAGAGAGGCCGACTGCCTACGGACTGACTACATGTAGCTCGACGCACGGCGGCTAGGCCCGGTAGAATGTACCCTCGCAGACCACTTGTTCAAGCCAACGCGATATATGTGTCTTCGAGAGGCTTCTATCGTGCATAGCTTCTTCAGGTTTATGCGATGTCTATAGCCCAGGCTCGTACGGACACAGCGGCCGCGGGTTTGCGATGAAGCTGTTAAACCCGTAGGTTCGAATAGGGGCGCTTTTTGGGGTTTGACGGTTGGGCTGTCCGGGATGGAAGGCTCGCGCGGACGGGCACGTCAGGTTCTCACGGTACAGCCATCGGTAGCCACGGGTTAGAACGGACAGCTCTTCGTTGGCTCACGATACGGCTACCAAGATATCTAGCTAGTAAAAGGGGCAGCTGTTTGGTGGGATAGCCGCTATAACCCTATCCGTACAGAGTGATCTCCTGGATCGTCTTGTTGGTTGTTAAGACGTATGTGCGAGTGATCGTAAGAGCCCTAACAGGGGTATGCCGCGTGATGGAAACCTCATAAGATCACCGGTAGGGTCATTTTATCGCCTTCTGGCCCCTCTTCCTAGCTGGTCTGCAATAATGATTAGTGTTGGAAGGAAAAAGGGTTGGATTAGCGACTGACTGTTGCACTCGCACCTATGACTACCTGCAATTGGAAGCTTATAAGGCCGGAAACAAGCTCACCGCGGTCAGTCAATCGCTAATTCAACCCTCTTTCCTTCTAACAGTATTAAGCAAAGCTCTGAAGATTTGAAAAACTGAAGGATTCTTGCATTGGCAGACGTGGTAGAGTCTTTTTTCCTGCCGTTGGCCTAAACCACTGCAAACAAGAACTATTCATACGTGAGACGTAATATCAAAGAAAGGCAGAAAGAAGAGGCCTCACCAAGCACAGCAATATAACAAGACATGAAGCTATTAATTTATACTACCTACATAGTTGTGATGGTTGCATTTTAGATTCGTCTATTTTGGCGTAGGAATGAACCTCCTGAATCGAAGTCTTAAAGAGGTGGAAATTGGTCGGCCATGGTGAGAGAGAGCAAGAATAACCAGCTATGCGTGATCCTGCGAAAATGCGTTCGAGGGAGAAGGGATTGTGTAGTGGATAAGGTAGACAAAGACAACTAGAAGACAGCTTTCACAAAGTTGATGAGGTTGGTTCACCCGTCGTCACTCCTCCTTACTTAGGCAAGGTTTCTGGCGCTGCTGGGTGGAACTGCCGGGCGATAACTGTATATCCCTTCCCCTTCCTTCTCCATCCACATGTGTTTGAAGAGTGTGCCAGACTCGAGCTGGTCTCCATATACTCGGAAAGGCTTTGAGACCCCCCTGTGCTCGAAAAAGCTTTGAGAGTTTTAGGCTTGAAGAAGTGAAGGGAGAGTGTACGAAACTCCCACGTGAACATGTATATCACTTCAATCTCCATCCACATGTGTTTGTGGAGTGTGCAACCCCGCGATAGACTCAAGCTCGTCCCCCTGTGCTCGAAAAGGTTTTGAGAGTCTTCAAAGAACTCGTTGCACAAAGTGTAAAGGCCATGGCTAGAGAGCTTGATGCTCCTCCAAGAGCTTGGCTGTTTCAAATTGAGTCACTTGTGAACAGAGAAGGCACTGAGATTGTGTCTGGCATGACGCGACAAACAGCGAGGGCTGCGCACGTGTCAGTGTAAGTGCTCTAGTCAAGAGGCTGTTGGTACTCACTAATTTGGTGTCTGAAAATCTTGGAGCTTGGTGTGTTGAAGTGCTTGGGTTGGTGTGATAGAAGATGAACGAAGGAAACTGTGTGTGTGGCAGCTGGGGGAAAGAGGGTAGAATAAAAAGTGATCTGACGAGCAGTTCGTCCCGACGGCAAATGAGTCATCGGTATGAAAGTTTGCAGAGTTTTCCTCTGCGTGGCTGCAACCTTGGGCTAGCAGAGCTTGTTTTTGCCTTTTGTTTTCATTGTGTTGAGATGGGTCTGGCATCTTCCATTGCTGTTTTTACTTTGTACTCGAACTCTCAGTATTGATGTTAACAGATCCATACAACGGAGTCTTGCTTGTGCCTATGTAATAGTGCCTTAGGTACCTACCTAATACGTAGGGCATGTAGGGAGCCAGGTATCAGTGCACGGTTTCAAGGAGATGGCTCTCTCTTTGCACTGACTAGTACCTACCTTACCTACCGGATGGACCCCTGTTTCTAGGGCAGCATGTTGGCTACCCAGTTGGATGTACAATGTATAAACTGCATGTGCATATGCCTAGCTATGACTAGGTAGATATGTGGCCATGGGAGGGGAATTCATTACCTACTGTTCCTTGCATACGTACCTTCCTTCAATGGCGTGCCTTCCTTCCAAGGCCAGGCCTTGAAGACCCTGCTCAAGCCGGCAAGAATCTAATGTGCTTCGTTTCCTTCATCTTCCTTGCCCTGACCCTTATGAACGCAATCAACAGCTGCACCCTCGAGCGGGTAATTCATATTCTATTTGCCGCGACGAGCCGTAATCTACCATAAACTAGAGCTACACCAAGCCAAAACAGCAGGGCGCGGATTCACCAGGCAAGGTAGTGGCCGACTTCTGGGTGGGCACGAATTAGGAGAAATGAAGTGCGAGGAGATTTGACAGGAACGGAACCAGGGTTGAGAATTCCTGGAGGCAGAGCAGAGAAGAGGTTTTGCTGTTGCTGGAAAGCAGGTTGGAGGAGTGACGGAAAGAATAAGGCTTTGTTTTGGAAGACGAAGGGAGCTGAGGGAGTGGCAGTATAGTGGTAGCTGCTTGGTTTGATCACACCCCCGCAAACGCAGTGAGATCTCCTTGACAACAACTTAACTACTAACTAGAGGGAAAATATCATGAACATACTATCTCGATGGAGTAGTGACCTCTGTCAACGTACCCAATCAGCTAAAGGTTTCTTTGAAATCGAAATATGTAGCCACTGACAGCGTATGCAGCTCGTAATATTTTCCGTACCGCCCTCGGGAATTTTGCTTTAGACTCTGCCCATTCCACAGAGTAGTCGTCTTCGAAAGGGGAGAGTTTGTTGAATAGGTCTGATCCCCACAACTGTAATAGGCTTTTGTGTCGGGGTCTGCAGCGCCTGAAATTGCGGACGCGACCTCGCAGAATCTCAGAGCAGGTCGCACACGGGGAGATGGCGGCTTTCGTAGATTGGTATTCCAAAAATGAAATTCAGGATCTGGATGGTGTTTTTTTCATTCTGCTGGTGCTTGAAGGCTGGCGGAAAAGTCTCAATTGCAAAGAGGTAGAATTGTTGCCATGTTGTCATGAGTTTGTCATTGTCTGTGCATTGTATGGTATAGCTACCTAGGTACCTAGGTAGGTGCCTACTAAGATGCAGCTTAGTACGCGCTGTTTAGGTATTAGGGTTTCCACACGCTGTCCACACCATCCACTGCCCATAACACACTCTCCACCGTGTTACTTACCTACCTAGGTAGGTAGTGGGTATGTGCTCCGTGCACAAAGCAATAGATTGTGGATCAGTGTATGTGCTCCATCAGTAGGGAGCCAGGGCGGGGTTAGGTTTGGAGTATAAAAGCCTGTTAGCCCCCAGCCGCATCGTTGGAACCCCTCACCGTTCTCCATATCACTTTTCCGCAGCCTCGCCCTCCCACATTGATTTCATCTACTTTGCTCCCAGACAAAGAGACAGCCCTCTACTATCTGCTTGTTATTATCGCTACGGTCAAACGAATCAATAATTTACGATAGGTCTATGGATTTGATTTCGTGGCCTGCGACAATCGGGACTGTTACCCAAGACATACGTTATTCATCATTTGCGTAGGTTTATCTACTAAAGTAATAAGGTAGGAAGCCAACATCAAGGCCCCGTGGCGCAGTGGTCAGCGCAGTACTGGTCGTTGGCAGCACACTCCCACTCTGTGTCGTTGACAGCACGCACGCAGTAACGGTCCTCGGTTCGAATCCTTGCGGGGCCAATTTTTTTTTTACACTACCCCAACCTCGAACACCGCGAAGTTATATACGAAAGTAATCGCACATGAAATCAAAGGCCCCGTGGCGCAGTGGTCAGCGCATTACTGGCTGTTGGCAGCACTCCCACTCTGAGTCGTTGACAGCACACGCAGTAAAGGTCCTCGGTTCAAATCCCTGTGGGGCCAATTTTTTTTTTACACTACCCCAACCTTAGATACTTCTCCATTTTATCAATTTTCAACTTTTGGCGTTCATTGGTGATACCTTGGACGTCACGAGAGGTGACGGTCTCACACACATGGGCGAGGAAATGTCTCTCGCGCTCTCTTGTACCGTCAACTGGTCGGCAGCAGCGGGGTAGGAAATAATACATACCTACTGTTCAGGACAGCCTCTTGCTGTAAGCCCGACCCAACTGTCCCTCACTGTGCTCGCAGCTTATGCGCAGTATATGCGTAGAATTCTGCCGCCGGAGCCCCGCTAGACCTTGGATTTACTGTTTATCACCTTAGATTAAGTGTAACCTCGCACCGCGTCACCTGTGGTGCAAACGTTCACTCTCTGCGCAGTTGACACCATACGTCCTTGGATTGAATCCCCCAGGGTCAATTTTTTTTTTTTTTTGCTATTCCAACCTTGAACACCCATGAGGCTATACGAAAATACTTGCAAGCAGAATCAAAGCCCCCGTGGTGCAGTGGCAGCGCGTCACCAACGGTCCTGGCAACACCGCACACTCCCACTCTCTGCATCGTTGGTCGTACTGGCACGGTAAAGGTCCCAGGTTCGAGTCCTAGCGGGTAGCATCGGAGTTTCACCGTTGCCCTCCACGCCTGGTCAGCTTCCTGATTCCAAACGACGTCCTCTTTTTCTAGGCTCGTTTTCCCCCCTCTCCCTCGAGTGAGACGGGGAGAGCGTGAGAATCTATGTTTGCCAGAGATTCCTTCCGTGGAGGAATTTTACCACTTAAAGAGGAGTACTGATCAAGAACTGCCGAACAACTATGGTGTATTTCCTGCTCTCGTACCTTCCATTTTGCGTCATTTCTGTAACAAGATTAGCATTCAGAGTATCATGCTGTCAAACGGAAGATACCCCCATGGCTGCGATCGTAGCCATAAGGAGTGGAAACACCTACCTAGGTACATGGGAAGATACGTAGAACCATAAAGCCATGACAATACCTACCTAAGTAGCTATGGGAGCAATTCAAGTTTCGTTTGCGGAACACCCTTTTTTTCGACCTCACTAAGCATTGAGTACCAAGAGGGTCGAGTGTTGCTACTTCAATGCCCAACGTGCGATGTGAAGTTCATGATGGTACGCGAATTTCTCCAGCGCATCAAGTCCAACGCTTGCGAAGAGACCGTGCCCACAAACCGACCACTAGATATGACCCTTCACCACATACAGTCGGTCGCTCGCTAGATTGTGGGTGTAATGCAGAATGTACAAGCACACAAACTTGTCTAGCACGTGGAGCACATGGAGTCCAACACTTGCGAAGAGATCGTGGCCACAAACCGACCATTGGGTATGATTATTCACAACGCTCAGGGGTAACGTGTGGCTGGTCAGGGCGCCCATCAGCTTCACCCAGGGACAATGCCGGAGATGAAGTTGGGCCACTTGGAGCCCGTATGGAGTTCGTGGAGCAGAAATCTACCATTGGGTATCAACAGTTTGCGAACATTAACCAAAGATTCACCTTCAGACGAATTGTTCCGACGCTCGGGCGCTCCTTATTTTTCTCATAGCCGCTAAGGTCAACGCAAGCTCCGAAGATATTTCAACGCAAGCCTCACTCCCCGTTGACAACGTATCTCGGAATTTATCTGCCGGTCCCTGTCGTGTTTCTGTGCCAATATCTACCTACATCTAAGTCAGCTAAAGCTAAAAATATAGGCACCTTATCGGTTATTCTTCATGGAGGTCGCCGTATGTAGCAGGCTGTCATCGCGGCCTCTACGCAAAAGAATCGAACACCATCATTAGATTGCTGTAATAGCACTGGTCGTTTGCGTTCCATGTTGAGCTTTTTCTCATTCAACTATATGTTTAGAAATTTTACGTGATTGGTACCTTCGGTGTTTGAAGATACTCTTGACCTGGAAGGTAAGATGCTCGGAGGCTTGTGTATTTAATGAACTCAGAATAGAGTTCCTTTCACTGGCCTATTATGATCATCGTTATCTTTTCTTAGGCCTAATAAAACCCTCCACACCAAGAAAAGTTAGAATTTCAACACACATAGCCTAGGTGTAGGCATCAGCACCTCGAAACCTCTGTAAGGGCTAGTCGGTATGTAAGCTAGCCACGGGGGAGCGCATAACCACACCTCTCCAAACCACGATGTCAGTATCTGATATCATTATCCCTACTACCCAGGGCCCAGTGAGGGCAAATGAAAAACATCAAATCTCCAGCTATGGTCTCTGCACTTTGTACACCAAGTTGGGTGGAAACTCTCAAATCTCAAATATGGCACGGCCAAACTCTTAGAAAAGCATCAAGTCTCCAGCCAAAGGCTTCAATTGTTCTAAGATATTTAGCTTGGCATTATGTTTACTACTGGGTTGAGTATCTTGATATAATGTTGAGATTCAACGCTAGGGGTTCTTCATGTCGATCACTTCGTTGCCTAGGTAGCTCTCAGGGAGGGATTTTGCCTGGTAGGGAGTTGCCTACAAGCCTCCATAATTTGAGCACAACCAGGGGAAGGAAGCCGTCGTGCTGCAGAATGATATGTAAGTAGGTATGATGAAGTGAGCATGTCATCCTTAGAAACGGTGAAAATGTGTGGTTTGTGGCAATCTAAAGGCTTGCGGCCGTGTCCGTTAGGTTTTGGTCGCGTTCGGCTTGCGCCGGACGAGCGAAGGCTTTGTTTCTTGCTCTAGTTACGAAGTCAGATTGATCGCCCTTAGATTCCGTGAATCGATTCATATTCGACCGGGGATGAGAAAGAGAGAAACTAGAGCTCAGTACGGGAGTCACAGAAAGGGACAGGAAGGGAAGAGTTTGAGATTAGGTGCTTTATTTCATCTCGTGTTATAATGATCATGTTCCCTATACTACGTCGACCAATGCATGCCCATGATGAAAAACCACAATCAGATTTGCCCGTTGTCTATCTCAGCCACCTCAAGTAGGCCCAGCGAAGACGTTCCAGGGCTTTCTGCTGAACTTGAATCCCCTTGATATTTGCTAGATCGTCCAGATCCTCAAGGAACTCCCTTTCAATCTCGCGAGGCATCAGTCTATGGGCTAGATTCCTGAGTAAGTGGACCTCGCAAAGAAGCAAGCCATGATCTTTGTATGAGAGCACATTGCTCTCGGTTGGGCGCGCCTCCGCGAGGATGCGGTCGATGTTCCGAAGAACCCGAACGGCATGTCCGGCTTTCCTGACCTGTTGTCTCCCAGAGCGGCCTCCAAAGACGCCGCGGAAATACTGGAAGAGGCCGATGGAGACGAGAATACCAGGTGTCAGGCCTACGAAGCCGAAAACCAGTTCCTGACTTTTCAACAGGGAGTCGATTCCGGTCATTGCAACTTCAAGATCCACCTTGGTTTTCTGAACCTGTATCAGGAGCGAGCGGACAAGGTCGCCTCGGAGGGCACCGACAAATGGGCTACGGAGGTCCTTCTCATATGCTTTTAGAACAGGTGTGACATCCCCCTCGGCGACCTTGGAGCGAATCTCGGAAATCTGGGCGTCTGAAAGCGACGAACTTTCAACTGCAAAATGAGGCTTATCGATTGCGAAATCAACCACCATGCGTTCTAAGCTTTCCCGGTCTGCCTTGAGGCTATCTCTGCTCATGATGGCGATCTCACTTGTCTCATCATGGCGAATGGTCCGAATAACTTTGTGCGTCGGCTCAATGACCCAGTTCAGCCAGAAATCCCGCACTGTTGATCCAAGCTCCGCGATCCAAGTAATAATCTCTGCCTTGCGATTCACCAGAATCTTCAGGATGGTTGTTGATGAGAGCAGACCGACGACACCTGGCAGCCAATATCGCACAAGAAGCGAAGGCCGTCCATTTTCAGTTGTCAGTTTCTTCATCGCAATCTGGTGCTGCGGAAGGACCTCGTCAATGATGGAGAGAAGGCGGCGGGCAAGAATGGTTGGTCGGTTGGAGGTGATGGTATCCTCAACATGAACGGAAAGCTCAGGGTCTTCCTCGACACCGGCGAAGACCTTATCCTCAAAGTCATTAACGCTAATGTCCAAATGAGAGACCTCCGCAAGGATCATGTCCATAAGCGCAACGCTGCGTTCAACAACCCCTTTGAGATCATGATGATCTTGTATCACCATGTGAGACTTATCATCGTCGATCTCGAACTGAAGACCCTCGTCCATTAGCACACCAAGTCCGCTGGCCGTAATTTCCCTCAACTTCTTCAGCTGAGCTTGTTTGCGTCTAGCCTCTGCTCTGGAAAATGCGACAGGAGAAAGAACTTTTCTTTGGATATTGGAAAACGAGCGCTCTCGAATACTATCGCGGACAATCGTATAAAATTGGCTCCACTCGCGAGACAATCGCGAGCGCGTCGAGTCTACAAAATCGGAGGTTGAGCCCAGTGAAGTCGCAGAGCTAAATCTAGCATGGGCTGTGATATATACATCTTGAGACCAAGCCCAGAATCTCACTGGAGATATTTGTACAGTGTAGAGGCTGCTGTACGAGTATGAGCTGAGAATCTCATCCCAATACCAGATGTCATTGCTTAAAGGGATGATTTGGTCCAGCAGAGTATTGAGAATGACACCATAGAGCTGAATAGTGGCTTTGCTGACTAGAAGCCACTCTACTTCATTTTCGTAAGGGCTCTTTACGCTGGCCTCATTGACCTTGAGAGGCTGTTCGGGTATCCCTGATTTTGTGAGCAGGGCCTTGATCCGGGATGTTGATAGCAGAGCATCCTGCGAGCCAGCTGTGCCGAATGACTGGACAATCCGTAGAAGACGATTAAGGTGGGGGGCCGCAAATGCATCAGCGATAGAGAAGCTCTGGTCCTCAGCCTCATAACCACCCTCATCAGACGATGCCTCAGCTGAGATGACAGGCAGCCGGTCCAAGTAGGCATCTAGACGCCGTACTTGGCTATTTGCGCCAAGAGGAGGGCCCTGGTCAGCAAAAAGAAATCAACAGCCATTGGGCAGAGGGGGGTGGAAGGCAGCAGGGGAACAAACTCTGAGACGAGTGACATGATGGCCGGTCGTGTGAGGTGATCCAAGAGCTTTTCTGCCGGAGCGGAGACGGACGCAGAGGCGGTGCGTTGCCGCAGGCGTCTCAAAGTCGGACCAGAATAAATTTTTTTCGAGGAAAACGAATTCGAAGGCCGGGTGTGGCTCTTACAAACGGATTGAGCCAGTGAAACGCAGGCAAGAAGAAGTTCCGGGTCGTGAAATGCAGGGTTCGAACAGGACCACAGGCGGATAATCAGACCCCAGATCCGAATCGTTTTAACACCGCCTTTTTCATCAATCAACCGACAAGGGTCAGATCAGACAGCGAGGGCAGGATAATGCCCGCCAATTCAAGTCACCTCCTGCTCGGTGGAATTGGACAGCGCGTGGGTTAATGCGCGTCTGGATGGCCAAAACATATAGAAAAAGATCGTACGGCAATGAGAACAAAGACGACGTCAATTGGAGGAAATGCAACAGCAATCGTCATTAGCTTGCGGGTTGGAGCGAGTGTGGAGCAAGTGATCTCATCAGAAAAACCGTTCGGGGTACGTACATGGACGCATGCAAGCAAGACCCAACGCACGTACATTTACATTAGCAAGGCAAGCAGGTACAGACATCGGATCACGTTCCTTTATCATTACCATGTCTCAAATGCTTGGTGAATCAGTGATAGGTAGGCAGAGAGTCGGTGCCGATGCGCACATCAATGGGCAAACCCAATGCGATCCAAATAATTTATTATCCCTCAGACTGATGCACCTGGGCTCAGAGACGGTAGAATCCTCTGTTCTGCCAACTCGATGCGCAGGTTGGTGTTTGTAATATGGCGGCAAGTAGGGGTGTTGATGGCTGCTACCCGAACGCGAATTCGAAGGGCCGTTCCTTGGTGAGCTTCGGTGGCGTAGCAAGATTCCGATTTGGACGAGATGTGGCTGGTGGCTGGGTTGGGTTGAGCAGGGGTGATGTTCCCAGAAAGCATGCACACTCATCAATCTCTCGCGATTACGCCAACTTCTAGTAAAGGGAAAGAGGAAAATAAGGCGATGCCACCGAAGACTCAGCCTCTAAAAATGTGTAGGCGGATTCTTTAGGTTGGACCAACGTCTGGTCTGGTTGGTCAAGGATGAGGTGATATATGGTTGTTCGTTTTCTTTCACGCCTGAACCTCAGTTCCTATCCTTGTAGAACAGCCAGCAGTTGGATTTCCGAATGTATAATGATAATGAGCATATACGGCCAATTTGCCAAGAATGATACCAGATGGATGAAGTTGTTTGAAAGGCAACATACAGTTAAGCAGTTGTTAGTCAGCGGTTGGCCACACTTGAGGCGTTTGGCCTTAGGCCTGCCTTTCGTGAAGCATGGATAGCTTTATTTCTAACTCCGGTCTGTGAACAACTATCACTCCAGGGGAGTGCAATTGCTTTTTTTTTTTACTCTTATGGAACGGTGCGGCAGGTTTCAATGCCTGTTTCTCTATAATTCGGTTGGGTGCTGCGACCATATCGAGAGTGGCGCCTTGATGATGCAAGTATGCTGTCGTTTCCAAATCGAGTTCGCAGTGCTATGCTCGGTGAGTTTCAGGCGGGCAATGCAAAATTGTAGATGTGGTGTAGATGTGGCTGGTGAATGGGACGGGCAATAAATGGGGTCATCCACCCACTCGCCCTCTGTCGTATTCGGGTTTACCAATAATGCTGCTGTGGGTGGGTGGGTGGCATTGCACCCGAGCCATGGCGCTAGGGGGGAAATCATCTGATCGGGACGGAGCCGGAAAGCCATCTGGGTGCGTGGTCTCATTTTGTCGGAACCTACAGCTTGATCGCTGTAAGGCCCTTGGTGCCCCTCCTCCAGGCCACATAGCGCTAAAGAAGTGCCACGGTCAAATACAATTCAGGCCATTGGCTCCCCTGTCCGCCAGGGGAAAGCACTACGAGATGGTGTCTCTCTTCCCGGGCGGAGGGGCAGGGTCCCCATTGAACTCTTTATTCTCCTACCAGGGACTCCTGATCCCATAAAAATTTAAATTCGAATGATAAAACCAGCAGCCTGCCGCCGACTCCCACCGATCCTTTTTCTCGAGACTCAAGCCCTCTTCTTCCAGCCCGTCATCGCCCTTCATCAATCATTCCTTCCACTCGGTGAAAGCACGATACGCTTTGGCAGCAGGGGGATCCGTTTCCTTTCTTCATTTCCACGTCTCAATTCGAGGTTTCCATGATGGAGGCAGTGTGAGTAGCTCCATCCCCTTATTTTTGCGCCTCCTTTGCGACCTCTTCTAACACGAGCGATTGAATTACAGCACCGGCACCTTGAACGCCCTCAACCAGACCCAGGGCTATTTTGAAGTCCTCGAGGAAGTTACCAAATACAATGTTCAACTCAGCTACTTGGAGAAGCTCTGGGCCGTACGTTCCATTCTCCCATCGAATTGATGCCAATCGCGAGCCCCAACCCAACGAGACTGACAACGATTCTAGGCATGGTACCTCTACATGCAAAATGATATCCTCGCAACTGGTGTCATGAGCTTTTTCCTCCACGAGCTTATCTATTTCGGTCGTTGCATTCCCTACATGGCGATGGACTACATCCCGTACTTCGAAAGATACAGGATCCAGAAGCAAAAGGTTCCCACCCTAAGGGAGCAGTGGGACTGTGCCCTCATCGTCCTTGTCAGCCACTTTACCGCCGAGCTTCCTCAGATCTGGTTCTTCCACCCCGTTGCCACCTGGTGTGGTATCGAGTACGGCGTACCCTTCCCTTCTGTGTTCACAATGGCCTGGCAGATTACGGTCGCCTTTATCTTGGAGGATGCTTGGCACTACTGGTTCCACCGTACTCTTCACTACGGTCCTCTCTACAAGGCCATCCACAAGATGCACCACACCTACTCTGCTCCCTTCGGTCTTGCTGCTGAGTATGCTTCTCCCATTGAGACTATGCTTCTCGGTATTGGCGTTGTTGGGGCTCCCCTCGTCATTCTGTACTTTACTGGCGAACTCCACCTCTTCACCATGTATGTCTGGATCACTCTTCGTCTCTTCCAGGCCATCGATGCCCACAGCGGCTACGACTTCCCCTGGAGCTTGCGCCACTTCCTCCCCGTCTGGGCTGGTGCCGAGCACCACGATCTCCACCACGAGAAGTTCATTGGCAACTACGCCTCCAGCTTTCGCTGGTGGGACTACTGCCTGGATACCGAGGCCGGCGCCGAGGCTCACAAGCGTAGACGCGAGAAGAAGATGGCCCAGATCAAGAGCAAGAAGGCCCAGTAAACTATTTCGCTTCACAGCGGCGTAGTTTATAGAAATGATCACCTATTTTAGCCTACCATATTTATTCATGGGAAGGCGAAAGCGCAATTAACTTGGACGACGAAATGAAGGATAGTGGCAATAGGAGAAACTGATTCTTTTTTTTTTTTTTTTTTTTTTTTTTTTTTGCAGTATTAGATTTAATAATATTCATTCTCATGGCAGAACAGTTCTAGGAAGGGTAAACGATGCCTCTTCAACACGGATTGGAGTGCTGCGTTTGAGCCCCAACTTTCTTTCTCCTGTATACAAAAGGAATCGGACCAAAGAAACAACCAAAAGAATTACGAGGTTTAGGAACAAGTACATAATCTTTCGTGAAATAAACTCTCAATTTCAAGAAGCACATTGCATTATTTGGCTGTAGTAAAATGGCTAGAATTGAGTGTACATGCATAGTATTACATTACCAGGGCTCAAGCCTGGATCCGATGCAGCGAAAACCATGAACCTGCTTCCGCTTGGGTTATTTCTTGGGCGTGCAGCAATCGCCTGCAGACACCGTAGCACTATCTACGAGATTCCTGATCTCGCATGTCACAGGCTCTGGTTCCACTTCTCCAAAGTCTTTGGCGATAGAGTCACACAGAGAGGCCAGCTCAAAGTCCTTTGTGGAGAGGCCTTTGGGGTTGTGTGTAGTCCATCGAATAAACGTGGTGTTATATACCTAATGTGAAACGGCATCAGCAAGTTTTAACTTGGAGAGTGAGACAGATAAAAATGAACCGACATTTGACCACTCAGGGTGGTGATTTTTTACCTTGCACTGCAGAGACACGGCAGTCATGAAGTCCTGTTTCGAAGTTCAGATTAGGCATCAAGTGATAAGATACAATTGCGGCCGCAATCATAGAGTTCTAACAGGGACGGTGCTTAAGGATCAACGTACCCAAGTCTTGGCAAAGGTTTTGAACTTGAAGCTCCGCTCCAGGGCTTCGCCTTCTGAGGTAAGCGTCCAACGGCCGCCCTCGGAGGACAGAAGCGACTGGAGGCTTGACACCGCAGTCGTCTCATCTGTGCCCTTAGAAAAGCGCGGCGATACCGGGAGGGTGGCCATGGTGGTTGAAAAGAAGTGGCGAGTGTCGGCGTTCCCAAGAGGCCGGATGATTGGAGTGCGAAGAAGCGCCTTGTAAACAAAAGCGAGCATCTTGGCATCAAACTAGATTGATGAACAAGAGATCTTGTGAGGGACTGTGTGTATCAAGAGGATTGATGCTACCTAGTCGTGCAGTCCAAGGGCGGCGCCACTCCAAACTTCTAAGATGTCAGATTACGTAATGCCTTTGGGCTCTCAAATAATTGCGGGTTCCTCAGCATCTTACCACAGGATCACCAGCCAAGTTATTTCTATTAATACTAGCCATCATTACTTGTCGTCCGCTGGGGCTCGAACATGAATACGGCCAGCAGAGTCAGGCAGAGTGCGTTCTATTTCCGGTAACACAGGGCGATTCCACGAACTCACCTTGGAAGCACGTCTAGGAAGATAGCAGGAGCTCTCATTCAACTAGCTGATTTAACGGCAATGGCTCCCTATGATTTCTTGTTTAGTAGTGAAGGCAGTGTGTGAATGCGTTGTTCTAGCAGCTACCTTCAATCCCAGTCTCGCAAGATAGCAGGAGCGCTCATTCAATTGGTTGATTTAGCGGCAATGGCTCCCTATGGTTTCTTGTTTAGTAGTGAAGGCAGTGTGTGAATGCGTTGTTCTAGCAGCTACCTTCATTACCAGTCTCGCAAGATAGCAGGAGCACTCATTCAATTGGTTAATTTAGCGGCAATGGCTCCCTATGGTTTCTTGTTTAGTAGTGAAGGTAGTGTGTGTAAACGCGTTGGTCTAGCAGCTACCTTCATTCCCAGTCTCGCAAGATAGCAGGAGCGCTCATTCAATTCGTTGATTTAGAGACTCCCTGTGGTTTCCTGTTTTAGCAGTGAAGGCAATATGTGTGAATGAAAATGCGTTGGGCTAGCAGCTACCTTCCTTCCTAGCTCCATCTTTTTGTCTTTGCCCAGGAAGCAGCGCATATGATCCCATCCACGAAATAGTCAACCACGAGGTCCACGCAACCTGTTCTTGAGCAATATTTCCTGGCAATAGAAACAAATATAAACAGAGTCGCCCCCCTCTCCCCTCGTCTTCCCATTTTCTTCTCTACACACTCGGTGTCGTTGACAGCACACTCCCACTCTAAGTCGTTGACAGCAACTCCCACTCTGAGCCGTTGACAGCACGCTCCCACTCTGAGCCGTTGACAGCACACTCCCAATCTGTGTCGTTGACAGCACCATGTCGGTAAGTTCGAAATCCCATCCAGTTTGTAATTGTGTATTGTGTGTCCTAATTGTTTTATCACAAGCCTTCAAATGTGACCATCTCGGTCACCGTGAATGGGGTGGCCTCTGGCGCCCCCGCCCGCCCCCGCCCCCGGCGCCGCCTGCGGTGCCATATCGTAAGTAACAAATCCTTCTGGCGAATACTATTCTAGCTAGCAAGTTTGCTAACATTGATGATAACATAGTGCCGCCGCCGCGGCCACTTTGCCCGGGCCTGCCCCAACCGGCAGGCCCCGGCCGCCGCGCCCGCCCCCGAGGCCCTCCCCGCCCCCGAGGCCCTCCCCCCCCCTGAGGCCGCCGCGCCCCCCGAGGGCCCCCCCCCGCCTACGCACCTGCGCCCCCTGCGGCCCCCGCGGCGCCACCATCGCCCCCAGCGGCGCCACCATCCCCCCCTGCGGCGCCCTCCCCCCCCCTGCGGCAGCACCATTCCCCCCCCCCCCCGGGGGCTGGTTCCCCCTCCCCCCTTGGCGCCGCCCAGCTGCGAGCGCCCCTCCCACCGCCGCCCCGGGCTCCCCGGCCCCTGCCGCGTCCCCCGCCTCCCTCCGATGAGGAGGATTTTTGTCTTTTTTTATGTTGTTTGTTGTTGTTTGTTTGTTTGTTGTTTGTTGTTTATTGTTATTTTTGTTTGTTTTTTGTTGTTTTTTGTTGTTTGCTGGACGTTTATTGTTTTTTTGTTTGTTTGGTAGTTTTCTTAGTTTTTTTTTGTTGAAAAAAGTTTGAAATTTTTGTTTGATCATTATACCTGGTTGGTGATTTGTCCCTTTTCTGAAAATACCCATGCCTCGTGGTTCTATGAAACATACAAATCGCACATCTTGATGCGTCGTATGTGGCGAGAACGCAATGCGACTGTCCTATGACTTCACGATAGAGATGTCGTACGCTCATGACGCGCCAGATTTGTCATGACCAACATTCATCCTGGGGCAAGGGTACGGCGGCCGAACTGGGACACTTCAAAATTGGTCAGCTCCCCCTCCTGATACTTCCAGTGAATGTTGCAATTGCTATCCTACTATCCCTGGACTCTAACCAGGCCTATTGTCAATTTTTACACACTTTCAGTGAAAACGCCTTCATCATGCGTGTCCCTCTCCGCGACCCCCTCCACTATCCCAGCCTACATCCCGCCCACACTGGGACTTCAATGCCATCAACTGAGCGCGAATCGTCTCCGTATTTCATCCATGCCGCCACTCTCATTCCAGGCCGGGGAGAGCCTATACAGCATGGGGCTGTCGCCGTGAGTGACGGCAAGGTCGAGTGGGTCGGACCCTTTGCCAATCGCCCATCCAAGTATCACAGCATCCGGGTTATCAATGTCCCCGTGCTTATGCCAGGCCTCTGGGACTGCCACTGCCATTATCAGGCATTCGATGTCCTCCAAGGGCTGGAAACGGTTGCATATCTCCCTGGGACGAATGCTCTCACAGGCGCCATAACGGTAGAAGATTTGAGGGTCACCCTCATGTCGGGCTATACCTCAATTCGGGAACTGGGTGGCAATGCAGGAGACCTTCGGCCTGGCATTGAGCGAGGACTCCTGGTAGGCCCCAATGTATACTCCTCCCACGCTGCTCTGTCCATCACAGGCGGGCATGGAGACGATCACATGCTACCTATCCAGACAGTGAGAGAGGCGATGGGCCGTGGGTTCCCCGTTGCCCTTTGCGACGGGGTTGACGAGTGCCTCAAAACAGTGCGTCTGCAAATCCGCCGCGGCGCAAAAGTCATCAAGGTTTGTTCCACCGGCGGTGTTCTCAGCCTCAACGACAACCCCGAGGACAGCCAATTCTCCGACGCGGAGCTCAAAGCCATCGTCGAGGAAGCCGGGCGGAGCGGTCGTGCGGTCGCTGCCCATGCTATTGGCAAGGCTGGGATCATGGCCGCCTTGAGAGCTGGCGTGCAGAGCATTGAACACGGCATGTACCTTGATGAAGAGGTGGCCGAGCTCATGAAGGAGAAGGGGGCATATTTAATCGCCACGCAGCATATCGTCCGCACTTTGGCTACAGACTACCTTGACACCCTTCCGGAGCCCTCGAGGGTAAAACTGCTAAATATTCTGGACCTTTCCAAGTCATCTTACAAGCTGGCTGTCAAGAGCGGAGTCAAGATTGCTCTAGGCACAGATATGCTGAGCAGCGACCGCAAGTCGAAGCTGTCACATGGCAACAATGCCCACGAGCTGTGGTGGGCAGTGGAGGCCGGGATGACACCTCTGGAGGCCATCGAGAGCGCGACAGCGAACGGTCCGGAGACGTTGGGCCGTCTGGCACCTCTGAGTGGACAGATCAAGGAAGGATATGATGCGGATATGATTGCAGTATCATCAAGTCCATTGCATGATATATCCATCCTAGCTGATCCAGAGAACATCACACATGTGTGGAAGGGAGGGAAGTTGTATAAAGGAGGTGATTAGCTAGTTCCCAATAGACCATGTGACTTTTCCGGGATACTAAATATAGTATGATATAAATCCGCTTAGAAGACAACTTAAGAAATCAGTTAGGAAGGCCGCTGGTAAAGCCATGATCCTACTAGTGTCAGCTTGAGAAGCCATGATGTGTCCTAAGAATAGATATCCCAGAAAACCATTTCTTAGAGGAATTTAGACAGTATCAAAACATAGTTGGGCTCCCTTAAAAACAGAAATCGATGCCATGTAATTGTAGACCACAATTGCTTGTTGTCCAAACAGGGGCTTGAACATCCAGGGGGCCATCAGCACCAGGAAGAGTACGATCTGTTGCCGGGAATACAGGGTGATTTTCCACACATGATTTAGTAGTGCCATTGATTTGATATGATATAATAAGTCTTAGCTAGTACTAAGGACGTCGAAGCGCTTCAGGAGCCTATGAACTATCATCCCGGCGAAAGCGGAGGCCACGCATTTAATTTGTGCTTTACTAAGTGATAAAGATCATCGTGAGTTTTCGGTCGGACAGAGAGGGTTGTTCTTCCCGAACTCAACACCAGCTCCGCGTGGCTTGATTGAGGGGACCACATCCAGTGGAACAAGAGGGGGTTGCTGTATGTGCTTGAGTTTAGGGATGAAGTCCCCAAATACGAAAAATGGTAGCCGAGAGGGATATCGACGTTGATTTGATGATCATAAATATTTTTATTTGAAGAAAAACAAGAAGAAGAATAACGCGAGATGTCTCTGACCTTCAAGTCGCTACAGAGAAGTGAGTATAACATGCTACTACTTTGATTAAACCTATCTGCCAATCCTGGCGGTTACCTTCCACGTAGTAGGGAGCCCCAAGACTGGCCAAAGTGGCGAGCGGCGGTGATATGAAGATGGTTGACGGGACACTCACGACGGCAAGAACCGAGTAAATACAGATCTCGGTGCCACGAAGTTCACTATTTTCAGCTGTCATTTATAGTGATGCATCAAGGTTATTTGATTTATTTTTTAAAGTATTTGAGTATACCAGCCCCCATTCCCAATAGCTAGTAGGTACCCCAAGGTCCATTGCGTACATACCTCGTCAGACTTCTGTTCGCCGAACTGGAGTTTGAATCGCAATAACGCTCATCCTCCGCAGTACCTTTTTTTTTAAAGTGCATGTGCAAGGGGGAATGTTTTCTTACCCCTTACCGTCTTTCCCTTTCGACAGATATCTTTCCACTCAATAAGCCAGGTACGTAGTTGCTAGACTGTCGCATTCTTATCCACAAGTTAGCAGTACCTTCCCTACCTATGTAGGTAGTAAAATAAGAAACCAGAGGTACCTAAGCGGCCATTACCTCGGAATCGATGAGAACGAGCGCTCATGCCTCTCCCGAAACGCCGCTCCCCCCCTTCGCCAAGCTCTTTCAATCCCTAAGCGAGGCGCTACCTGCCTATGTTTGTAGAGACACCCAAAGGTTTCCATTTGAAGGAAGAGCTAGGTAGCTGCTAGACCGACGCATTGCCGTCCCTGTTAGAACAGAGAACCATCAGGTAAGAAGCTATTACCTCTAGATCAATGAATTGAATGAGAGCTCCTGCCTTATGTGAGGTGTAATACACCCGCCTTCAATATATAGTTCTTCGATAGGATGATATTCCGGACTTGTTTACAAACACAATCAATCACAAACGAAATCACAATCGCAACCACTTCAAAAGCAACAGCAACAGTAACAACAAACGATTACGAGTGAAATCTTTGACATTCATCAATGGCTCAGATTCAGAAGATGGTGGTGGTGGTGGTCATGATGATGACGATGATACCGTGGGTTGTGGCCGACACTAATTGTACGTCCAGCTCCAAGCCTGAGACTGGTGAGCAAGGTTCTTGGGCCCAGTTCAAAGAGATTGGCAGCGGGATTGGCCCTTGGATCACTTTTTGTACCTTGCTTCTCAACATTTTTCTCAGCGTCTGGGATCGTTTCTTTCCCAAGAAAGGCACACAAGGCGACAAAGGCGCTCCCGGTGACAAAGGCGCTCCCGGTGACAAAGGCGCTCCCGGTGACAAAGGCGCTCCCGGTGACAAAGGCGCTCCCGGTGACAAAGGTTCTCCCGGTGACAAAGGTGCTCCCGGTGACAAAGGTGCTCCCGGTGACAAAGGTGACAAAGGTGCTCCCGGTGACAAAGGTGACAAAGGTGATCCTGGCGAACGTGGACCACCAGGTCCGGTTGGAGAACCAGGTACATGCCAATGCCCATGCCAACGCCGATCCTCCAGTGCCATGGTCGATGCTTCGACGCAAACCTCTCCCCGCGCGGACCACCCGTCTCGGAGTTCATCTACTCGCTCCTCCCGTACTACTACTGGGACAAAACCAGCGGGGAAGAAGCAGAAGGCTTGGGTGATGCCTTCGGGAAAACCAGTTGGGAATCACAAATAGACCGCTCGGTGTCCGGCGAGATAATGCATTCCAGGCACCCGAGATGTAGGCAGTGTCACGTCCTAGACCATCGGCACAGGGAGTGTCTGACCAGCTATCGACAGGAAGTGTTATTGGCCAGCTTAACAGAGCGTGCCTTTGGCCCTTTGGACAGCCAGCGCCTTTGACCACCTGTCAGCGGGAAGTGTCGTTGACCAGCCTAACAAAGCGTGCCTTTGGCCCTTTGGACGGCCAGCGTCGCTGACCACCTATCAGCAGGAAGTGTCGTTGACCAGCCTAACAAAGCGTGCCTTTGGCCCTTTGGACAGCCAGCGTCGTTGACCACCTGGATAGCCAGCGTCGTTGACCCCTTGTGCCGGTGTGTATATTGACCACCTAACGTCTCAAGAGGTGTTGCATTGATCTCCCACATCCATTCAAGAGCTGCGTCAGAAAGCCACAGGCATGGCCTTTGTACTTTGTGCAAAGAGTACCTAGAGGTGGATGCCCGTTGACTCCTCAGACAAAAAGACTCTCTTTGAGCGGATTTAGTGCATGTAAGTACAGTACACGTGTATTCTCACCAGACTCCTCATCTAACACACATTACGTCAAATTATCGGCCTATGACCTCAGGTTCCTACGTGGGAGGTCCTTGTTGTGACCTCTGATGGTGGAAGGTGGTTTCGAAGAAACACGAGTCCCGATGGCCTTTCTGAGCAGCATGGTCTTCCGAGCGACGACAGAAACCAAAGTACTTGGTGGCTAAGGGTTATTTGGCAATAGTAAGTCTGCATACAGTCAAAGTGTCGTTCCTGGCTGACATTCTTCTAAGCGCATCGGCATGTCTCGCCCAAACCAGTAACGGATTTTGTGTGTGTGTGTTAGGAAAGGAAAACAGCTGGGTCAACTAGAGGGAAACACTTTTAGGGCTTCATGTGACATAGCCACCTCAACATAGTTGTTCAGAAAGAAAGAATAATTATCCCGAAAGCCTACTGGAACGTTCGCAGCCAAACCTTCGTAGTCACAAAGTGAGCTCGCCGCTGTGACTCCTTCACTACCCAAAAACTTTATTGAAAACACACGAGTACCTACCTACCTGGTAATGAGAAGCCCCGGTACCCGCAGACCACAATTCTACACAATCCCACATAAGTATATTTGCATTTAGACAAAGGAGGAAGAAGAAACGCGAGATGTCTCTAACTTTGCGTGAAAGCCAAGTCGCTCCAGAGAAGCGAGGATAAACGTCGCAACATCTAGCTATGGTGCCGTAGGTTCACGAGGAAGATAGAAACAGTTGAAAATAATGATGAAAGTAATGCGCAGGCTTGAGGATTTTATGTGCGTTAGGTACAGCTCTCTCGGGTTGTTCGTGATTGAAAGCAGCATATCTTCCAGGAGCTCGTCATCTGCTTCGATGACCGAGCCCTTACTGGTAGGGATGTGAGTGTTAGATAATGATATCTTGTTGTTGTTATTGCTGTTGTTGCTGCTGTGTGGGAAAGTGGTTGTGGTTGGTGGTGATAAGCGTCCCCTTTCGGGGCTATGGCCGACTTATATATTGGCCGGCCCTTGTTAGAGTTTTTGATGAGATATTAATGCCTGTGCCTGGGCTAAATGTGTAAATGTTTGAGTTTTTATGGTGTTAAAGGTTCGGGTATGGGCCGCAAATTATGTTTAAAAAAAACTGTGTGTAATAGTCATGTGTGTAGCCTGATCTTGGGACTAGATAACCCTTGTTTATGGCAAGAAAAAAACAAACAATGAAAATAATGAATTATTATTGAGTAATTATTAGATAGTATTAGCTATTGATAGACAACAGTAGCTATTATGACACAGTAGGAGTATTATTGTGTGACTGCCACTATGATTCTGTCAAGATCTCTGGTGTTATGATGCTGAAAGTGGTACACGGGAGGGGTTGACTACGAACAATGCCCGCTTGGAAGAAGAAGAAAAATAAGGAAGGAAGGAAAGCAAGATACATACTAAGAAGTCGCAAGATAGGTTTCTGGAACAGCCAGATAGGTGTGATCTAGATATCCTCTCCCCACTCGACTTGTGGTATGATTCTTGCCCGTCACGCGTGATTGACGCTTGAGACGACTCTAAAAGTTGCATCTAAATGCTGTGTCCCACAGAACTCTCCCTCGAAGCTCGTTCCGCGGAATTCAACTACTTGCTTCAGGGTGGAATTCGATGGTCATGTGAGTCACCTAGACCGGCCGTCGTGATTCGGAATCCACCAAGAGAAGAACAGCGACACCTAGTTTGCTGAAGTTGAATTTGGCGCCTTGCCGAGAAGTTCTACCCCCGACAAGATCCTGGTGTTAGAGTTTGTCGAGAATTATCACACTTTGGGTTTTCCACAAATACAGTTACCACGATAACCTCCGCGCGTGGCGCGGCTGGTGTGTATTAAGATACGAGGGTTGCCACACCTAAGATGAACTTTCGAGTCTTCTCAGAAATCGCTCGAAAATTTCCTGGCGACTACTTAAAGCATTGGTGCTTCCTGGAGGCCCTGCCTAATAACCAACATCCCATCTATCATCAATATTCACCATCTCCTTCTTCCAACCTTCATCTCCTACGAAATGGCCAATGCTATCACGCGTATTTTCGGCTCCCGGTCTCGTAAAGTGAGATACACTCAATCCTCCACCCAAACCACACCAGATGACCAAGACCCTCCTGAATACGCCATGGCAATACAGGCAGGAGATTCAGAATGTGCTGCAGCAACAGAGGCAGGGCATTGTGAGAAATCGTCATCGCTCGACAACATGACAGCCAAAAATAAAAAACCCCTTGAGCTTGGCGAGAATCACGGTCGTTGTGAGTGCTCTCAGCACCACAGCTGCTGTCACGGCCATCACTCGCTGCGCTACCCTTCAGCCTCTACTCTCGCACCAGTCCACTCCTTGATGGCCTACCACCTTTCATTCGAGCACCTGTCCTGTATCCGCCGCAAGCTCGGCGATGAGATGCAAAAGACCAAGTACATCCCTGAACTTTCATGGGAAGACTCGGTCACTTCTACGCATGGTGTGGACTATGAGATGCTGAGTGAAGTATTCACTTGCAAGGGTGAATTTCTACAAAGACAACAGATCCGTCTCAGGTACGGATCAGATGACAGTTCACCCAACGGAGAGCAATTCTTCGGCTGCCCACACCAGAGCGTCCGTGTGTCTTCGCCGGTCAGAAAGAAGACCTCAAACTTGATTGATGTTCAGCTCGACATTTCCCATCACCCACCACGCTGCGCCTCTCACAAGTCGCAGAGGTGGTGTAACCTCGAGGGTCCCTATGCACACATAGCAGTGTGTACTATTTGCCATTCTGATGCAGAACTCCATCTCAGGATGAGTACCCACTATCTGATCATGATATACACATGCTACAGAAACCTGGGTACAGCTGAGGAAGCTAGTGACCCTAAATGGAACGCTCTTCTCACTGGTGAGGGTCAAGGAAGCCGACCAGACAAGGTGCTTGATTTATACAAACATGTTTATAAGGTAGCTTTTGGTCTTTGCCGGTCGTTCCTGGAACCAGCTCGTTATCAGACACCGAGCGGAATGGTCGACATGTCTATTAGGTGATTCCTAAACCCTCTTGAGACTACCTAGAGCTTCAGGTTTATTACTCCGTATGTTTAAGTAGTTATCATCACTTGAAAATCAAGGACTTGATCATGTTTTGTTCTCGGCGCCGCATTTACAACGCAATAAGGGGGGGATCTATTATTGGTCTCTGTACTCCTTTCCGATCCCATGCCTGTGTTCTTCAGTACCCTCTGATATATTCGCTCCAACAAACCAAGTGTGCCGGCTTTCCCTGTACCAATCCGTAAATTTTCTCGCTTTCAAAGCAGTTGTATGTGTATGGGCCATTTTATGAAAGAAGCTTTACAACATCAGCCGTTCGAGTGACTTGTTCCTTCTTCTTCTTCTTGCCTCCGCTCTCCTGGAACGCCTTGCTTACGAGCTGGCGTTTCTCTCGCTGAATATCTAGCACGCGCTCTTCCACGGTGCCTTCCATGATGAGCCGCCAAACTTTAGTCTCGCGTGTCTGTCCCAGACGATGGACACGATCTACGGCCTGATCTTCGACGGCTGGCGCCCACCCTATGACATGTCAGTACTCACTCGGCCAAAAAAAGCGCTATCACCAGAGCCCACTCACAGCTATCGCACAATATGACCGTGTCTGCCGATACGAGATTAAGACCGACGCTGCAAACTGCAAGGCTTGCTAGCATGATCCGCGTATTATCGTTATGGTCCAAGGAATGGATGGCTTTGTCGCGCTTAGCGGGGTTCATGCTACCATCCACCCTTGAATACTTGTATCCGAGGCTGATCAATCGTTTCTGAACAATGTTCAGAAAAGCTGTCCACTGTGAGAAAATGATGATCTTGGACCCAGGGTTTTTTAGAGTAGCTCGGATAATTTGAACCAGTGCTTCTGTCTTTGAACTTTGAGTTTCAATGTCGAGGGTCTGCTCGTTGCTCTCTTCCGGCGCTGGCTCCAAAACACTGTCTTCATCCAGGGCGTTGCGGCACAGGGGACACTTGTGTTGAAGTCGGATGGCTTTCATAATACAGTCGCGGCAGAAGACGTGTTTGCAGTTCGTAATGACTGGAGTGGCGGGTACCTCGAAACAGATGGCACACTCTTGCTGGCTCTCCATGTAGAGTTTCAGGGCTGCTTGAAGAAGAGCTCTGTTCTTGTCGTTGAGAACCACCACCTCATCATTCTCAAAGAAACTCATGAGGTCTTCAACGCGCTCTTTACATAGGGTCCAATGGTTACAACTACCCCCATAATTAGTTAGTCTATCAGCACACGACATTGAGCCACTTACACTTGTCTCAGGCGAAGCAGACGTTCAAGGACATTATGAAATTGTGTTTTTTGAGAAGCAGATCTCGACTGAAATTCTGCCAGAGCTCCTCTGGCTTCCGCTCTGGAGAGAGTCAGTAGATATCCCAAGCGATTGGCTCGCGTTTTTGACTTACAGAAGAGCATCGTACTTCCGCTTTTCCTCCGAATGAAACGTGATCCTATGCACGAACTCTTTCTTCTCGGGAAGCTTGATATCAACGAACTTCATATCCTTCTTACGCCTCAGGCAAATATCTTGCATGAGACTTTGGAGAATCATCTCTCCACTTTTGTCGTTTGAGCCAATTTTTCGGCCGATAACTGTGTTGAAAATCTCAGCCTTCTCGATGCCACCAGTGATACGCAGAAACTTGACCAAAGAATGCAAGTCTTTGACTGAGTTTACGCTATTTTCATCATTAGCCATTATGAGGTATCTGTAATGCATCGTGTGGAAGACTTACATTGGGGTTCCAGTCAAAACCCATCGAGATTTTGCCCTTAGATAGCAAGCCGACGTGGCAACCAGGGTCTTGGCGTTTCGTATCGTATGACCTTCGTCAAGCACGACTCGCCTCCATTCAAAAGTCGGGTCGTACAGGGCCTTGTCTTGTGATAGACGTCCATAGGATGTGATGACCACATCGTACCTCATGAGAGCCCCTGTGTTCATCCTCTCTTTGCCATGGTACACTAGTACACTTGGTCGTTTATCGGGCAGAACATGTCGACGAATCTGTTGCTCCCAATTACTCATGACACTGACGGGGGCAACAATCAGGGTAGGTCCCGGCCCACCAGTAACAATCAGGCTGATGATTTCCAAAGTCTTGCCCAGCCCCATGTCATCTGCTAGAATTCCTCCTGACATCAGATCTGGAGGTGTCTTGGTAACAAACGTTGTCGCCACGTTGTACCAGTGCGGACGATTAGCATGCCTTTTCCATAGCTGAACAACATTTTGAGATGCAGCCTCAGGTTGAGATGGGTTTTCCTTGGCATGCAGCCAGGCAAGGGCCTAGTAGTTCAGCCCTTAGCTTCCTCTCGTGATCACTGGGCTGGTGTTACATACCTGGCGTTGATAAGGCAAGAGGGTAGCCTTCAGTTGGGATGGCTGGTCGGCCTGCGGCATCGCCGCCAGTTGCTCCTCACTCAGAGCGATAGATTTGATCATATCTCCGCCATTCCTGAACTCCACATTCTCACTCTTTTGCAAGAGTTGATCCAAGGATATTTCTGGGTCATCTTGCTTCGCAGTCCCGTCGGGAAGGCCATAGGAGCTTCCGCCTTTGAGCTCCAAAGTCGCCCGCCGCTGCTCTGCTTCCTTCCTAGAATTTTTGAGCTGTGTGGCTTTGGCGAGCTTCTCGCGCTTGAGCGATTCCTCGATTCGAGAACGCTCTGTTGGATTGCTCGGGCCATAGAAGGAGAGCATAACAGGGCAGTCATAAAACTGCTTTTCTCCCGTCAATTGCGCTTCCACGGTCAAGTCGCCTCGATCCTGTTGACAGTCAGCGAGCAGACCAACACACAAGGCACAGTGCTAGCTAAGTCTCACAATGAAGGGCGCCAATTTCTCTACAACTTTCCGCGGCAGATGACCGATTTGTTGCCCAAGTACATTCTCAACCCGTATTGCGTTGCGATCGTGCTTCTCTGAAGTTAGCGGTTTGCGTACCAGGAAACTGACTACAGACGGGCATTTACCGTGTTGGTCGGCTCTCTCCGGCAGAGCACGACCTCCCCAGCTGACGCAAACCCATTGTAGTATCTGACCCCCACTATCTTTGCGTCTACAGATGAAAGTCAGTCAAACTCGTTGACAGGGAATGGTAACTTGTACCCACCCAATGTATTGTATAGCTCTCTTGGCGGCCCGTCGTCTTCTTGGGTCAGATCCAGTACATCTGGATCTCGATCAACTTGGGATGATGGGAATGTGGAAGAAAACGATGACGGTGTCGACGACGATGGCACCGTCGAATTGAATACAGGGAGATGGAATCCAGAAGCGCTGCTTGTGGGGTATTGCGACTGCTGGGGAAATGAACGAGCCTGCCGCTTCGTCCCGCCTGGGCCTCCATTTTGGTCACCGTCATCTTGAGTCAGATCGATGAAGGCGCGCTGGCGTTTTGGGGGCATGGCTACTACTTTCTGGGATGGGGCAAGCACGAGTACGGAGAGCGAGGGTCAATGGCAGAACGTCTTGGATATGGAGGAGGCAAATGTTTCACGAACCCGATCTCAGCTGGCGCGCGGAGTTCAGGAGCTGATCCAATCCTGCTGTGGCGGCATGGAAAAAGCAAGTTGAGGTGCTCTGCACCAGCAAACGCGATACAGCAGCTCGCGTGGAGGACGCGAAATCATGTGCTATAGCTGCCTGCTAATACCTGCCTATCTCCAGCTGGCTGTACCCACTGAAATGGCACTGCATGGAAGCGGCTTCGATGTTGGAACTTGGACGAACCCTTGCTCCAGATAACTTTAATTCATATTAATGTTGCATGGACCTGTATTTCTCCGGTTGACCATTCACGACCATAAGAGGAGATAAAATTCCAAGCTGTGGCTAGAGGCAAAGGCAGTTGGAATATGCAGCGATCAGGCTCCCGGTGAGAGCAGGCCCCTTAAGTTAGTGAGTTAGTGCTCGGCCTGGGCCGTGTGGCACTAACGACCGTCGGGTCAATCACGCAATCGATGGCACGGATGTCGGAATCGTAGCAGGACGGCATAGGTTGAAAGAAAAGGTGATATGCTGGCCCAGCACGACTCCTCTTTTTCCAACGACATCCCACTCCGTCCCTACAGCTATCCGAGAGATCCAACTACGAGGAAACACTTCTTGGTCCATACTGACAATAATAGATTCTGCTATCAAGGCTCCCATTCACTGGGCGCTTCCCACCCAGCTACATGTCGGCATACAACCGCCCTCGAAGCACTATCCCAACTCCAACAAGCTGTTGGGTTCCAAAAATCAAGATCAATCCAGGCTGGCAATGGTAACAACGCTATTCGTTACTTGGTCGTCACAAAATCATTTCAAAAGTTGCCCATACGCCGAGTAGTAATTACAACTTGGGACATGGCTCCTTCTCCCCGTCTTCTCGTCGAAAATATTGCAGCCTCCTTTGGCCACATTTGGCGGGGTGTACACTGCAACACATATCTGGTCAATATCTACGGAGATGACAGAATATGTCGGCACGAGCCACTCACAGTGCAATGAGACAGCGAAGTCGCTGCCCTCGTTGATCACCTTGTGCAGGCCGAGCTCATCGGCCATATAGGCTACCTGGTTCTCCTTGTATGTCTTCTGAGAAATCTTTCTCAACGGCTGCTCACCATCCCCGTGCTGCGGGCATTCATAACGAGTCTCTGTCAAGTTACCCTTGAGGATCTTCATCAAGCAGTGGGCATTGCCATGGTCATGGATCGGACTCCCCTTCCCGGGGGACCATACGAGCACCAGCTATTACAGGCTGTGAGCGAGGCATGCCGGGTGTGTGGTTGCCGTATTAACATACCAGATTGCTTTTACCGTTGCCCTCGTCGACGAGATTACGAGTGTAGCCCCGACTACCGTCACCAAAGGCATATCTGGCCCATCTCCCATCAGTCCCGTCATAGTCCTCCATTAGGAGGTGGAGGAAGTCGACGTCAACATCGTCAGATGTCAACCCTGATGAAGGACCCAAAGCCTTCTTCAACGCCAACACCAGTCTGTCAAATCGGTCGGTTGGGATATTGCCCAGCGGCGCCCTCGCATCGAAGGGAGTGCCAACGTAAGGCATGTGGCTGGAGGCGATGTTGACTGCCATTGTATGGGTTGGATGTTGTGATTCAATTTGTTACGCCTTGCTATGATCGATCTCTGAGCAGCGGGATAGCATGCGGAAGAGGACACTGTTGCAGAACGGCTCGACTGGGCGGCCACGCTTACCGACTATCTTGGGCGGGGTCTTTGTTTTCGCTTGCGACAACCAACTACGACGATCACCTGATACGAGGTGAAGATAAGACCGCCGGCGCCCGGAGCAAATCCAGAAAATTGTCACACGTCGCATTTGAGGGGCGGCCATGGATATCGGTTTGTCAAGGAACGCTCTGGTTGGGTGAACCATGCTGCTACGCTAAAACCGTAGGTGCTGCGCATATCAAGATACGGAGACCTAAGGGGAAAGGGGAGCTAGGTGCACAGTGCTGGACAACGCAGCATCACCACCCCCTCCCGACCGCGAGGGCTGGATTCTCGACCTTCCCTTCACCTAGGGGGAAGAAACACGCGTCTACAATATTGTTCGCAGTCCATTAAGTCTAGGGGGGCAATATGTGACCTTTGGACGTTGTCAGAAGCTCGAGTACACAGTACATGGACTCAGCGGAATGCTGGTGGGGCCCAGGGGTCTTGTGGCTGGCTGAGAGGGCTCTGGCGGCAAATGACAATTGAGGGAACTCGCGGCACCGAGCCCCTTTTGCTGGCACATTCGGTCTGTGCAAGCTGGATGCTGAAGCAGCAGGTTTATGCACGATGCAAAGGCAGGAGCTCCAAAGAGCATTCACAGCCAATATTTTTTTTGCACACCTGGACGTAGTAGTGTCATTGCGGGTGAGGTAAGTTTCGTCTTAGCCTGCAGCGCCATCTCGCACCCGCCGGCTGGGATATGCGGCAATCGGATTCGGTGCTCCACTGCCCAGATTATCTAAGGCGCCGGTCCTCGCTCTCGTAAGTGGCTCATGACTTCTGTGCTAGCGAGCCTCGTAGACGGCACCAGTTCCCGTGTGTCAGTGGCGACCAGCCGGACACCATGTAAATATAAATCTGGAGAAGACGGTATTTGAATTTTGATTTTCAATCGGCGAATGGACTACCCTTTCGCTTCATGTTCCCAGCTATGCATAGACGCCGCAACGAATAAAACTCTGCCCTCCACGACCCAGGCCTGCCTCTTACTAAGTTCTGACAATTGAATCTACACGCTGGTACCACCTGCCTCCCAAGGACCTATCCGTTTTGTGTATCTCCATCAGACCATGTCATCCCAGGCCTCAACAACCACAACAACTTCCGGCAACGGGAGCGACCCGGCTCAACGATCATGCTCTGGCACAAACCAGACCGGGGGGGCATGTAAGGAGAATGTTGGCTGGCGAAGAATCGTTCGAAATTTCACGCCATCGTGAGTGTAAATCGGACAAAAATACAACCCAATACTGTAACCACAATGGCTAACCAGAGATATCGCTTGTCTTCAAAAGATGGTTCGCCGTCAATATGGGTACTGGCATCGTCAGCATTCTCCTATACCGGCTGCCGTATAACGGTGAATGGCTCCAGTACATATCATACATCTTCTTTTGCGCCAATGTCCTCCTGTTTGCTTTGTTTACAGCCGTCTCCGTGATGAGATATGCTTTATATCCAGAGATTTGGTTTGCCATGATTGCCCACCCAGGCCAATCTTTGTTTCTCGGATGTTTCCCCATGGGCTTTGCCAGTACGTTTTCCTTTCCCCGAGCACGTCTGCCGATATGTCATCGCTTACAAACTCATAGCGATCATCAACATGATGGTCTTTGTTGGCAAATCGTGGGGCAATGGTTTCATTTACCTGACATGGGCGTTTTGGTGGGTAGATGCCGTTGTCTCAATGGCCACCTGCATCAGCATGCCCTTTATCGTCATGAAACGACACCGCCCCGACCTCCAGAACATTACAGCTGCCCTTCTGCTCCCCATAGTACCGACAGTCGTCGCGGCAGCCTCTGCAGGGATTGTTGCCGAGGTCCTCCCAAACGTCAACCATGCTCTGACAACTCTGGTGGCCGGGTATGTCCTATGGGGCATAGGTATCGCGTTCTCTGGGTGTGTGCTCGCCCTCTATCTCCAGAGACTGATGATCCACTCTTTGCCGGCCCGGGAGGCCATTGTCTCCGTCTTCCTGCCGATCGGGCCCCTTGGACAGGGAGGCTTCGGCATACAGCAACTTGGAAAGGTTGCTCTCAAGGTGATACCTGAAACGAATGCGTTTCCTGCTCTCGGGGCCGACGTTTCAAGAGCCGGCGAGGTTCTCTACGTATTGGGAATCTTCAATGGACTTGTCATGTGGGGTTTCGGCCTCGTTTGGCTGGCCTTTGCTCTGATCAGCATCATCACGACGCAGAGCTTCCCGTTCAACATGGGCTGGTGGGGTTTTACTTTCCCCCTGGGCGTCCTAGCTACCTGCACCTCGCTTCTTGCTGAGAATCTCCAGAGCCAATTCTTCCAGGTAGCAACAATGGTGAGTGAAATAACCTGGCTTGCTCGGCTGGTGGTGTCTGGCTAACGACGGTTAGATTCTGTCCCTTTCAGTTGTCCTGCTCTGGGCCGTTGTGGCTGTTAGAACGATGCTTCAGGTCATCACTGGAGAAATGTTCTTCGCGCCTTGTCTTGGGGATATACGTCCAAAGGAGCAGGCTGGTGGTTCAGACAGGAGAGTATAGTATAACGGCTGTTGAGATTCCCTCCTCGGTCCTTCTCTGTTTATACCCTTCATGTATATATAGCCCCTTGCGAACATACAGTTATAGTGCTCATTTCTGTTCGTCACACCCGTTTCCAAGACACCCGAATTTGTCTGCGAGGGTGAGATTCTAGAAATGTGACATAAAAGGACCATTTCTTAGAAATTAGAAAATTTCATAAGCATCCAGTATGTTTGGGAGCCAAGGGTCGTTGGGTCAAATGTCCAAAAGGTTTCACTGACTCTAATGCAATCCGCTACATACCTACTTTAAAGAGAACAACACAATTACCAGTAATATAACCAGACACTTTACCGCAGCCTTTAGCACCTTTATCCTTAAGCTAATAGCAGAGCTTCCAAAGTCTGTGATGTTGTATACGAAGTCGTGCCGAAGCTTCATGCTGAACTGAGCTCACCCATTCCATTGTATCCCTGAAGGTCGTGTATCTCTTAGGAAAAGGAAGTTTATTTGACGGCGATGGTAAGAGATATCCAAGTCAAAACCTAGCCTAATATAATATAAATTCTACAATAAAAAGACAAATAATTTTGCAAGTGTAATGATGAACGAGGAAGGTCGAGATCGTGTGAGTGTATTGGCATAGGGTAGGTCAGCGAAGCGTACGAATAGGATAATCGCCATTGGTGTGAGGATGGGCTTGTAATTGCGTATGCGGGAGTCATCTAGATTGCCCCGCATTTTTTTCTTCCACGGAGGGGCAATTTTGCAGCATCGAAATCCGTTCATATCTACCTACATACGATAGCATAAACGGTGGTGCATTTGCAAGGGTCGATTGTTGCCGGCCATGGACGATACGAACAGTGTTCTCAGCCTTGGGCTGCCGGGATCTACGGATGGTAAGTGTTCAATGGCCTTGGCAATCCCGACAGCATACTGATATTTGAATAGGGTGGATGGATATCTGGCACAATCATCGTGGGCCAATTATCCTCGCGACCACCACGGTGCTCCTCGCATTTCGATACTACATACACCGGAACGAAGAACGAGAGGGGCTACTGGTGCTTAACAAAAAATTCGACGAGAAAGAGAAGCCAGTGATTGAGGACGATGCCCCAAAAGCCATTGTGGACGAGAAGCAGAACCTCAAAACCGCTGCCGGCCCACGTCGTATCAAGGGAGGCTTGGCTAAGAGCCCTTCGTCACAGAACCAAGAAAAACGCCGTGGGAATGGACCAGTAAAAATTTATGTCTTTTTCTCATCGATTACTACGAAGACCCAGAAGGTTGCGGAGGGCTATGTCGAAAAGTTGGCTGCTAGGATCGATCAGTTTAGCGAGGAATCTGGTCGCCAGTTCCTGCGCCCCGAACTTAAGGATCTAACCGAAATCGATTTCGAGGACTATTTTGTCACGGTCCCAAAGGTCGATGAGGATGCCGACGTTTTCTACCTCTTCCTGATTCCCAGCTATAACATTGACACAATCAACGACACCTTCTTACAGCATCTCGAGGAGACGCATCACGATTTCCGAATCGACACTGCCTCCCTCTCTTCGCTGATGGGGTACTCAGTCTTTGGGTTTGGCGACACTGAGGGATGGCCCAACGAAGCCGAGGGTTTCTGTTTCCAGGCAAAAGAAATCGACAAATGGATGGCCAAGCTTACAGCACGGAAGAGGGCTTACCCGGTTGGGATGGGGGACCTGAAGGGCGACCATGCTGCGAGATTCGCCGAGTGGGCTGCCGGAGTTCAAGACGTCATCACCTCTGCTGCGCGCACTGGCAGTTTGGGTGAGGGACTACCCGGAAGCGGAGAGCCTGTAGAGAGCGACTCGGAAGATGTGGAAGACGAGGAGTACGATGATGGAGAAGTCATTCTCGGCGACGAAATCAGTAACACAAAATCTACTGGATCAAGGGACCTGGACGACATGGAAGACCTCGGGAAAATGATTCAACCTTCGAACAGCGCCAAGGCATCGAAGAAAATCAAAGCCCCTCTTGCAGTTGACTTCACAACGTACAGCGGTTCGTCGAAGAAGAAGGGACCGACGGCGGCGCCGAAGGAAATGGTGGCCAAGAACTCACCAACATATGCCGCTCTAACCAAGCAAGGATATGCGATTGTAGGCTCGCACTCCGGCGTCAAGATCTGCCGATGGACAAAGTCAGCTTTGCGAGGACGTGGAAGCTGTTACAAATATTCGCTGTACGGAATCAACTCCCACCAATGCATGGAAACTACGCCCTCGCTTTCATGCTCCAACAAGTGTGTCTTCTGCTGGAGACATGGCACAAACCCTGTGGGCACAACCTGGAGATGGGTCGTGGACCCCCCGGACTTGATTTTCGAGGGTGTGAAGAAGAATCATTATCACAAGATCAAGATGATGCGAGGAATGCCCGGTGTTCGAGCAGAGCGTTTCAGCGAAGCACTTCGAATCCGCCACTGTGCGCTGTCCTTGGTGGGTGAACCTATCTTCTACCCTTATATCAATGAGTTCCTTGCTCTTCTTCATGGCGAGAGAATTTCATCGTTCTTGGTCTGCAATGCTCAGCACCCGGATCAACTCGCCGATTTGAAGGCCGTCACCCAGCTTTACGTATCTATTGATGCGTCAAACAAGGAGTCTCTGCGGAAGATCGACAGACCCCTCCACAGAGACTACTGGGAGAGATTCCAAAGATGTCTTGACATTCTCAGGGAGAAACGGTTCCGCCACCGCACCGTATACCGTCTCACCTTGGTGAAGGGATTCAATGTGGAGGATGAAGCGGAAGGCTATGCCCAGCTCATCGAGCGCGGCCTCCCCTGCTTCGTCGAAGTCAAGGGAGTTACTTATTGCGGCACCTCTACGTCGTCAAACGCAGGTCTCACCATGTCCAACGTCCCGTACTACTGGGAAGTTTGTGACTTCGTCAGGGCTCTCGAGAAGAAACTCAAGGAGAAGGGCTTGAACTATGGCATTGCTGCCGAGCACGCCCACAGCTGCTGCATTCTTCTGGCGAGCGACCGATTCTACGTCGACGGGAAATGGCACACACATATTGACTACGACAGGTTCTTTGAATTGTTGGAGGAGAGAGGTGCAGATGGCGACTGGACCCCTGAAGACTACATGGGGCCGCCAACACCGGAGTGGGCACTCTGGGGCAACGGAGGTTTTGACCCTCGGGACGACAGGGTGGACAGAAAGGGCAGAAAGATCGAACCTGTCGTTGTTCGTGACCGCCCAGCAGATGCCGAAAGTTGGTAGAATAAAGAAACAAATGTCACATGGCACCATACTAAAAGAAAGCTATTTCCCCGAGCGAGTTTGTTCATGAACGAGTAAGAATAGACAACCTCCCAAGTAACGTATAAGTAGTAGTCACACACCCAGCTGTTCAGTCTGTGAAGCGAGGGCATATATTCTAAAAAAATAAGATTAAACAGATTCATGTATTACGGAGTCACTGCCAGCAGTTGCCATTTCCCGAGAACCACAGCAGGCTCATTCAACGTAATATTTGTTTACACAAGGCTCCATAAAAGCTGGTATGATACACGGAGGTTGGTAGTGGCCTCTATTGACGATCCCAGTCCTAGTCACGGTGGGATCAATTTTGGATTTGTGAGTGGTATTCCATTGATTGTTGATACGGCAGCTAATCGAGGCCGACGTTGGGAATATCGGCCAGGTTGATGCCACCGGGACGTGGGCGGATATCCAGAGAGGAATCATAGGCAATCATCTCGGCGAGGATATCTAAGATGGGCTAGGGAAAATGTGAGCATCGCATTGCATCATGTGGATGGGACTAGTCTCCTGCTTACTTTGGGCACGGTACTGTCGTAGATCTTGATGAGATCGCCGGGAGCGGGATACACCTTGAGACCCTTGTAGAAGGCAAGGGCAGACTCGACCTTCTTGGAAGCTGTACAATCAATCCTCGTTAGCTGCCGGTTGCCCCAACGCTGGAGTGAAGAAAAACATACGATCTTGGCTGAGCATCTCGCCGGTCATGACCTGCTCATTGAAGTAGGCCTCGCGCTCCTCAACGCCTGTAGGGAAGCCCTCGAACACTGCCTCATCAACCAGGAGCTTGACAGCCTCTCGTTGTCGCTTGGTTGATGCCTCGGCCTCCTCCTTCTCTGCGCGTGCCTGTTTACGTTCGTTTCTCCTTAGGTTGCGGCGAAACTCGGGGTTCTTCCGTCGCTGGAAATCAAAGTAGGCAACATAAACTACAAAATCTCCGTTAGCCAATGCGTCCTCGTCCCGGGCTCGGATCGATTGGGGGTTGTGCGACATACCAATGACGCCGGTGGCAGCAGTTGCGATAGATGCCGTCACTATCGCCGATGTCGAGACCATTTTGACAGTATAGATGGGACGCAGAAATTAAAATGCAAGTAAGATGCCAAGAGCACAGAGCAAGTATGCAAATATACGATGGCTCAGAGACCGACAATGCCGTTTGTTTGGCCCAAGGTTAAATGGTAAGTAGGGAGAACTTGGCCCAGCTGATCGTGCTATCGATTTTTTTGGATGGACGATGGCGAGTCCGGTACTTACTCTGAGCTACGGGCTGATCTCTGCTGGGGCTGGTCGGAATATTGATGTGGCGGCGCCAACGCGAGCTCGCAGAGGGTACAAAGTGACATGCGTGGCTGGCTGGCTACCTACCCTGCGTCGGAAAATTGTCGGGCGCTCGCACAGCCGAACCCATCTGCGACAGAGAGCTTGAGACGTCGCAGGTAATACCAGGGAGGAAGGCAGGAGGTAGCTCTCCACGTAGCCCCAGTACGAGACACTGTCATCAACGAACTGCGAACCGTCCAGGCGCCTCAAAATGTCTGAAGAGCGCAGCAATCTGCTTTCTCTCCGCAGCGGCAAGAGGAGGAAGAGTGTTCGCCCCGTCATCAGCGCCCCGAAGCAGATATCCAGTCCAATTGTACACGACGATGTAGGCGGCAGCGGCGCTCCTATCCCTCCGCTCCCTGAGCCTCGAGCTGGAGCAGGCAATGGCCCTCGCCCTCGCCCTCGCCCTCCGCCTGCACCAGGAGGAAAGGTTAGTTTTCAAGCCCCAGATGATGTGTATCGCAAGTCTTCTGGCCAAATGTTGACCGAGCCGAACCTCAATAGACGTCCGATTTGGTGAAGCGACGATATTCGTCACGCTTCGGCCAAGAATACGATGCTTCCGGTCTACCCCCTGCAGTCCCGGCTATGCCATCTCTCGACAAGTTCGATCAGCATCATCATCACCCGGGCAATCGACCAGCTGGAGGAGCGCCAGTCGTGGATGTGAAGGCCATCCGGGACCCCAACCTCGTCCCTGACCAGTATGTTACCAGTGTGCTTTCCGAGGCGACCGACGAACAGATTCTCGAGTACGAGAATGGGCTTCACAAGCTCAAAATTCGGGCGAGGACAGATCTTCAGCAGAATCTCCTCCAGAACCGAACGCAGTTTATTAAGATCAGCAAGGAGGCTGAGAAGCTCAAGAATGAGATGCATGCACTTCGAAATTTGATGGCCGAGCTGAAGACTAATACCCGGGCTTTGCGAGTAACTTCGAATCAGGGTGATGAATCGTCGGATCTTCCTGGCGGAGTCCCGTCGGGCTTGAGCAAGAGGGACAAGCGAAGCTCTGTTGCCGATAGAAGCGCATTATGGAACTCGCAGATGCAAGCCTTGTTTAAGAGTGTGGAGGGTTCTCAGAAGTTCCTGCCCAACGTCACCGGTCGTCATATTGTCCAGAACGCCGGACCTTGGGTTGAGTTGGACAACGCAACATACAAGTCACGGAGAGCAATGCAAATTTTCCTCCTCAACGACCATCTGTTGATCGCTTCCCGAAAGAAGCGGAAGGTTGATGTATCGCACGGCGATACTAGAAACGCTGTGACCAAACTGGTGGCTGATCGCTGTTGGGCGCTCTTGGACATAGAGGTCGTGGACATGGCTGGCACCGGAGAGTCACATGGCGGGCGAAACAAGTTGGCTGATGCCATCATGGTCAGAGGTGGCGGTCAAGAGTCATTCATTTATCGCACCGAAAAGCCAGAAGACCCGGAGAAGAAGTCTTTCCTGTTGAATGTGCGCAAGGCTGTCGAGGAGCTTCGTAAAGGCCTTCAGTCAGAGATGGAGGCAAGCAACAAAGCCCGGGAGACAATCAATTACTTCGCATCTAGGGACCCTGGCCTTCTCCAGAAAACAGAGCTGCTGGCGACGTTGTCTGACATTAAAGACATGCTAATTGAAGTGGATGGGAAACAACAAAATCTACGATGGGTCGAGAGCCAGATGGACGAACTAGATATTGACATCGCTCTCCAGAGAATTGAATCGGCTGTATCAACATTCGAAAAGCTGAAGGGGCTTGCGCGTGGGCTGAAGAACAACCTGGTCGCCCAAGACTTCATCAATTTCAAGGTGGAAGAGAGATGTGGGAAACTTGCTGCTGTAATACTCCGCGAACTGGGCGCAGAACACAACGACCAGTCGAAAACCAAGCGCAATGTTAGCTGGCTGACAAGGCTTGGCTTCGAGGACCGGGCTCGTGAAGTGTATCTGGCCGCCAGAAGCGAGATGATACACAAGAGGTCCAGGTAAGGCTCCCTTTCTTCACATTCGTCTGACGAGGATCAGAAATGCGTACTGACTTTGGGCAACAGACAGTGTATCTTTCAAGGAGACCTGCACCTTTACATTTGGCAAGTCTCGTTTGTGTACTTCATGATTATCCATAACACGGTCAAGTGCTTCCAAGGTTGCTTCCCACCACCCATGATGAGCACTTGCGTTAAGTGGGGCAAGGAGCAAGTAGAGGCTTTCAATATGATTCTGGCGAGACAGCTTAGCAGCACGAAGCGAGGTGGAGAGATATGGACACAGTGTATGGAGCGAGCAAAGGAGCACGCGGGGATACTGGCCGAGGTTGGCCTTGATTTTGTGAATTTAGTAGGGCGGGATCTAGAGGGGCCCTCGACTCGTCCGGGCGAGAATACTGGTCTTGGGTTAGTTTCTTGATATGGTTAAACCACCACAAAGAATGAATAGCAGTAGTCTGGGATACTTTATTTTGCAACTGGTTTGGGAAATTACGAGATGCAAAAAAGTCTGAATTCTGAACGAGTGGTAGAACTGATAGCTGGAAGGCGCTAGGTCCGGCTCCCTTCTGTTGGGCTGGTTGCTTAACCTGGAGCAGGCGAGCTTGTGGCGTGATTGTGGGCTCTTCTGGAATTTGCAACGGACTTCTAGTTGATGTCTGCCGCGTCGTATGTCCTTTGTAACTGGATAGTGCGTCCATTGAACTGCTCGTCCAGCTCAATGATGCGTTGTCGCCACCAGCTGGCCATTGGCTCAGCATCACATCAGCTGCATTCAAGCAGACTCTCATCCAACCTGAGCTGTCTGACTGTTTCGGCCCACTAACTCTTGGGGCACCATTAGTGGGGCCTACGTGTTCCAGCCCACTCCCCAGTTGGGGGCACCTGCCTCTACTAACATACTACGCCCCTACCTAATCAAATATGGTGGAATCCATCAGGTATCTGCTAGTCATTGCTGTTCACCTCCTCCTCCCCCCCCATCAGCTCTCTCCCTCCAAACAAAACATCGAACGAAACCCATCAATTAATTACCTGCACGCCAACTGTCCACCACACCGGCCCTTTTGCGTGATTTGATTCTGTGTTTCCTTCATCATTATCTTTGCTCCCATCCAGCTCAGCGCGCCTTTTGTCCTCCGCCCTGAGATTCAAGCCCCACCGCCCGCGAGACCTCACCTAATTCGAGGTTGCACCCTATTTCCTTTCGCAGCAACGTCATTCCCCCACGCACGCCGCTGCACGCGATAGTTGCCCATACTCGAACGACTATATACAGATTGATATATCATGGATACCAACATGGAAGACGTTGGGAGAGCCCCCACCGATCTCTCCCCGGTGCAGGCAGAGCCTGCGCCCATCCCTACTGTCGATGGCTGGATCGAGAGCCTAATGAACTGCAAGCAACTTGCTGAGAGCGACGTCCAGAGACTCTGCGAAAAGGTGAGGAAATGAACGAGCTCGGAAGCCACAGCATCAGATGCCCATCAAACGCCCTGCCTCACCTGGGCCTCATCGTCGCTTGAGGAAAACATCCCACCAAGACACCCCACCAATATTTTCCCTCGTCTCGCGTGACCGGTCCGGCTTCCCAAGTTGACAGCTTGCTGACATCTTAATTTCTATTAGGCAAGAGAAGTTCTACAGGAGGAATCCAATGTACAGCCTGTAGTACGTATTTGATGATAGCTCTCCTCGTCAGACAATGGACTAACCATATTGTGCAGAAATGCCCCGTCACGGTTTGTGGCGACATCCATGGGCAATTCCATGATCTCATGGAGCTGTTCAAGATCGGCGGCCCCAATCCTGACACAAACTACCTTTTCATGGGTAAGCAGCGTTCATGCCATTTCTGTTTGGATACTTTTCTCTAACTGGCCATTTAGGCGACTACGTTGACAGAGGCTACTACTCCGTTGAGACAGTGACTCTTCTCGTCGCGCTCAAGATCCGATACCCCCAGCGCATTACTATTCTTCGAGGAAACCACGAATCCCGCCAGATCACGCAAGTGTATGGATTTTACGACGAGTGCCTGCGCAAATACGGCAATGCCAACGTCTGGAAGTACTTCACCGATCTTTTCGATTACCTTCCTCTGACCGCTTTGATCGAGAACCAGATCTTCTGCCTCCACGGCGGTCTGTCTCCCAGCATTGATACCCTTGATAACATCAGGTCATTGGACCGTATCCAAGAAGTCCCCCATGAGGGTCCCATGTGTGACCTGTTATGGTCCGATCCCGATGACCGTTGCGGCTGGGGGATATCACCCCGTGGCGCCGGTTATACTTTCGGCCAGGATATCTCTGAGGCTTTCAACCACAACAACGGGCTGACCCTGATTGCCCGTGCCCACCAGCTCGTCATGGAAGGCTACAATTGGTCTCAAGACCGCAACGTGGTGACCATCTTTTCTGGTGAGCAACACCAACTCCTCCCCTACTGTCGTGAAGGGCCTTATTTTGCTGACATTTCCGTAGCGCCAAACTACTGCTATCGATGCGGCAACCAAGCAGCCATTATGGAGATTGACGAGCACCTCAAATACACATTGTGAGCAACTCACACGGTCCAAATGATTTGAAATATTCACTAACAAGTCTTGTCTTAGCTTGCAATTTGACCCCTGTCCCAGAGCTGGCGAGCCCATGGTTTCAAGGCGTAAGCCTCCCTCCCTTTCCCGTCATGGTTGTACAAATATACTAACTCTCGTGTAGGGACACCTGATTACTTCCTGTAAACTTGCTTGGTCGACTATGGGTGGAAAAGTTCATACTGCATCCTCTTTGCCATGTAATGAGTTTCAATCAGACGGGACAGCACGAGCTGGAAAGGTTTCATCATATATTACTCCTGACATGAATTCCGGGAGAGTTATAATGGCCATTGCAAGTAGGGTCTTGGGTGGAATGGCGGCTAGACACAGCATGAAAGCTAGAAATTCCCTTATCAACCTAGTACTGGGCCATCATCGGCCACACATGCGTTGTAGATTTGGTAATTGGAGATGACAGGATACCTTTCCTTGTCAGTGTTGTACTTCGATGATGTGGTTGCCATTAATGCTCACATCCCCAAAGGTGATATTGACTCTCAAATTATTGAGATTATCTTCTATTAGTACTTGGAGATGTGTATCTATGGATCTAATGAATACCCAAACCATTTTAGCAGTGGTGATGTGATTAAACTCCTGAGACTCCAGCTAAACCCTCTTCTTCGTCACATAGATGTGATTATCCTAATCTAACTATTAATATTTTGATCATATTTGTCTATAAGTTATCTCATGTCCCAAAAGAAGCAATTTACTTGGTCCTCTGTGCCTCCTCATCGAGGATTGGTTCTTCATTTGCGCCCTTCTCGTTGGTATCGTCCGTGTCATTAGGCACACCGTTTGAGTAGTGCCAAGGAGCACTGCTGCCGTTTGGAATGTGGAATCGCTTGTCCATTCGCATCAAGGCATAAGTGTAGACAACAATCAGCTCAATGACATAGCTGAAGCAGTAGAAGACGGCCTTGTGGTTGAACCAGCCGGGGTCGGTGGTTGGTCGCACGGGAAGGAACGCAACACCGGCACGGAACGAGGCGCCGAGGGCCAGGAGAGTGGTGGTGAAGAGAACGAGGATGATCTTGGTGTTCATGGAGCCATGGCCAAAGTGGTCGGTGGGGTGGCGGCGGGGGAACAGGAGACAAAGGAGAATGCCGGGGATGGGGATGAACGAGAGGACGGCGATGTAGACGCTGGCGACGAGGCGGACGTCGCGAATCTTGCTCAGGACGGAGGTGTCGAGGGTGTAGAAGCTGTAGACGACGGCGGTGATGACCATGACGAGGCATGCGAAGACGCCAAAGTAGAGGAAGCGGAAGGCCAGGCGGACGGGCTGGCGCCAGCCGAAGTTGGGGTGCAGGGCCCGGAGTATGCGCTGGAAGAAGATGATGTTGACGATGTAGAGGAGGAGGACGCCCGCGTTTGCGAAGACGCTTGCGGCGATGGCGATCCGGGCGTTGGTGGGGTAGCAGGCCCAGACGATTCGCAGGACGTTGGCCATGATGCGGGCCATGCAGAAGCCGAAGGTGACGGCGGAGATGATGAACTTGTGGTTCCGGCGGCGGTTGATTTGGAAGATGGTCATGTTGATGGCGGCGGCGCAGGCGAAGAGGAGCATGAAGACGCCCGAGATTGGGATATCAACTCCCTTTGTTGGTGAGCCTCCCATACTCGCACCCCGTGGAGGGTATGGGGGTGACTGGCGATGAGTGGCGTGTTAGTGTACATGAAGCTGGGCTGAGGGTGAGGATGGCTTGGAGAGGGTGAACCTACCGATGGAACTGTCCCAGGCATTGAAGACGACATGACTGCCGACTGCTATGTGAAGCTGATACAAGAATGTGCAAGATGATATATGTATGTATTTCTTAAATGAATGCGAATGCCCACACTGATACACGATGAGATGAGTGCCGACGAGGAGTGCTAATTGTGAGCTTGAGGCGGTTGAAGCTTGTTGTATTAATGCAGAGCAATCTAAATTAATCTATCGCACGGGATCGCCCTGCCTATATATTCTGCCCCGAAATCTGGAAATTTGAATCTTTCAATATTGATCGGGCCCTAGAAAACGCCGGCAACAGACTCGGGGGCTTTTAGCATGAATCGATTATGAAAGATCGTGAGTGGGGGGTCGGGTGATCGGAGCTTAAAGCTGAGGGCGAGCGCCGATGGTGGGTTTCCGGCACTCGCAAACGGAGCTAGAGCTCTGAAAGACAGGCTATTGTTTGCTTCTTTTTCCAACTCTACGACCTGCAATAGGGCTATCCAGAGTCTAAGATTCCAGTTTGGCAAGCGGACGAGTAGGCCTCGTGACCATTTTCCCACTAAGTTTATCGCTGGAAACCTCAGGCTTTCCGTCTCGTCTTCACGCGGCTTCAAGATGTGGCCGCCCAGGTGTGCCGACTTAAGCGGCATGCACACCTCTTCTCTCGTCTCGTACCTCGTTTACACATACCCGCGGGCGTCTTGACGCTTCTCCGCCCCCATCTCACGCATTGGGGATTATGGGAGTTGAACCCGTCAGGCAGAAAACAAAACCCCGTTCGCTGGTTATCAATCGCATCAATCGGTCTTTTCCAACAAGTCTAGTACGGATGAGGAAATGAGCACGAGCTTGGGCTATTCACCGATGCTATGATCCTTCCATTGGCTCGCGCTGAAAACGCCGACACGGCACTGACTAATCGCATAGGTGTGCCAGCTGGTAGCTGCCCTGAGGTAGCTCTCTCATCAAGGCCGGAGCGTCAAGGTCGGAGCGCGAGAGACATTTGGGCCGCCCTGCACAACTGCATGGTTAGTCAGCCTAGTCGGAACGCGTCACGAATCTCAATCAGAGAGGCGTTTTGGACCGCCACATGTTTGATTTGAGCTCGCCAAATACCCACCGGACGCAGACATTTAGGAGAATCAAGATCAAGATCGCCATCGATGACGAGAGGAGCGTGCGCGACTATTCGCGTGTCTATGGTGGTTGGTGGTAGATTTGGATTCTCCCTCATGATCCAGCACCATGATCGCGACAAGATCCATCACCTATAGCATCGCTCTTATTTCTTCCCACGCACATGTCCTCACCGAATCTGGATACATCACAGCAAGACATAGCTTCCAGGCGTGGTTGGTGGACGACCATCTGCCGAGGGCAGCCAGGTGAGTATTATTGCGCCATGCACAGCCAGCTGACAGATCATTGGGTGTTTACCTGCAGCTCTTGCATTAGCAGCTCCTAGTCTAATTGAAATGGCACAGGCCTCTTCCTGCAGACTCATGTTTGCTTCTGTGGTCTCGCCTGGATCTGTTATACAATCAACGTCCAACGCCAGCGCTCAGCCATGAATACGAAGGGGCCAGCTCGGTGGCCAAACAAGATATAATCCCTTCCCAGCCTGCAGTATCATAATAGGCATCGTACGTGGTGAGACGATAGCGCCCGGTACTAATACTGGTTTCAGTAAGCCCAGGCTCTGAACTGTTCAAGCTTCCAGTGGTCTGACGCCCTTAATTGCTGGGTCCCCTTCCTTTGGAGACTGGCCCTTGTCGTCTTTGGTAGGATCCCTGTTCCCCAAGATTGCGCTCTCCCGTTCAAGACACGCCTGACCCACAGCGTGGCCGCAACTAGAGCCAAGAATGGCATCTGAGTGGACGCTCCCATGGCCATTGCCTGTACCGACGCACCTCGTCCTGGTCGCTTCTGGGCCAAGGATGCACTCGATGGAAAGGAAACCAAAGAAAGCCAAGGCCGGGCCTGTGGCTTTTTTTGCGTGGATTTCGTTCCTCTGGCCACCAGCTGTCCTGTGCGTCAGGAACTCTCCAGGTTCCGTGGTGGACCGTATCCGCATGTATACACAACCCTACCATATGTGCGGTGATGATCGGATCCAAGAACTGTCGCAGGGAAGCTGTGTCTGGAAGAGAGCACACAAGCTCAAAGTCCGACACATGGCTGGAACACGGCTCTAGAGTTTGCGTCGTCCAGTGTGTACTTGCATGCGCCCTGGAAGGGGCTGTGTGCATGTCTCTGCCAGAATTTCCATCACTTGGTGGTCCCTTGCCTTGTCGCATTCTGAGTCTTGTCCTTGCAGCTCAGATCCTTCTCACCAATCAGCCCTTCTAGCCTCTCCTTGCCTGCGTGTATACGCACCGGCGGTTTTTTCTGTTTCCACCCTCCTCTGTCACCAGTCCTGCATCATTATGGGGCGTGCAGCGGCGTCATCCTGAAAGACATGGGCAGACAGCGCTCAGCGAAAGGAAAAAAAAAACCATGCTAACCCAGGTATGGCTAGGCCTCAATTTATTCTCATAGTAGCTGGCAAAGCATCATTGGAGGAGCATACACGCAATGAAGCCCAGCACAGCTGGCTCTGTCGATTCCGCAGTTGTGAAGCAGCTCTTTATGCTTTCTCTTCCCAACGGCCCGGTCAGTAGGCACGAGCGAGGATGGAGCAGTAGCGGTTCACCTTCGGACCTTCCCTGCCCGTTGGCCCCAGTCTGGCGCCGTTTGTCTTGGTACCTGCCTACCACCCAAAGTGATCCACCGACGCAACCCCCAAGGCCCACTCTAATCTTCTTTGGGCACTGTACCTGCACTATCGTAGCCGCCATTTCCCCCATAGCTCCATTTCCCATCGACTCCCAATTCTCGCGACTCAGAGCCGTCAAACTCGAATCCTCTTCTCTCTTCCTTCCTTCCCCTCCCATCCAGCCGTGCCCTAGTATTCGGAGAGCTTCATCGTCTGGCTCCCCAAATCAGGGCGACAAGAAACGACTTTACGACAGGCACGAGTCGAGTCGTCTAGTTTTGAGTGGCCCCCACCCCTATAGCAGCAACTCACCAACCTCCGCCTCCTGTCTTCCCCCGACTTAGGAAACCACAGGGACGATTGGACTGCGCTCTTTCGCACCTCACCTTCCTTGGGCCTTTTCGCTTCGTTACTCTCGCTTACCGTTCCTGGTCTCTCAACTTCCTCTTACCGCCTATCCGCCTACCTAATAATTCCGACGCACCTGCTTTGCTTGCAGCATTAATCATTACGTCCTTGGCCTACTCCGCCTCGCCCGTCAACAACATCCAGACGTCCAATTGTTTCTCCTCACCACTTTAGCAGACGGATTACTTTGGCTCGAGAGGAGGCACACGGCTAGGAAGCTAATTTTTCTTTCTTTCTTTTTTGGTTACGACTATTAATCGACAAAAACAACAAATACCACATCGAGAATTACCTGGACCGGCAACACATTACATAGCGGTGGGCTTTGACAACACCTCCTATCGCATCGTTCATTACGTACTTGGGGACCAATTCCTTCATTTTACCCGCTGTCCAAGGTCATCTCTGCCCTACGGATTATGAGACAGCAGCCGACCAATTGTCTCTGAAGCAGGTACTTGTGCGACGACCGATCGGACCACCGGTGCTGCATCTACTTCTCGTCGTTCCGCAAGCAAGCCAGATACACTTGTCAACAATGGGCCGTGGACGAGTTGAAAGACGGCGCAATGTCGCACTGCTGACACTTCTCTCTCTCTCGACTTCCCTGGTTACAGCTCAGTCTAGCTGCATTTCACTCCAGAATTCTACCGCTTGTCCGGCATTCAAGACTTCCTCTGTTTCTCGAGGTGATGATTTGAAGAAAGAATTGTGAGTTCCCCCCTCAATCTTTTTTTCGCTGGACCAAAAGAAGCTAATCTGATTCAAGTCCATTCCTCGAATATGTCAAAGACACTGCGTCATTTGATGATGCCCTGTCCAATTATGTCAAGACGACTTTTGTCCATGACAAGTGAGTGCATTCTTTTTAGGATAATAGCCTGGATAATCTCAGCGCTAACATGGATCTAGATATCAAATTCTTTTCGGTTGCGGTGAAATTGACCTGACTAATACAACCACCTGGTATGCTCGTTTCACGACCACCGTTATGTGTAATGCATTGGTCCAGAAATCGATCAACGCCTGCTCGTTGTCTAAAGATCAGTCACGCTCGATTTGCGCCGATGGGTGTGCTGAATTTGCCCAGAGTGAAGCCTACTTGACATCTGACAGGGAATTATGTGCCAACCCTAAGGACAATTTGGACTCCTTGATCAGAGCAGATTTCACCACATGTTCAGAACCATTAACGGCGCTGGCAGGGAGAACATGCATCAATCCATCGGACAACGAAAAAGAGAATTGCGGTTTTGGTACCAGCACAATCGGACTATGCGCTTACTGTTCCGATACCAGTGTCAACTCAACCGACACCTGCTGCTACAATTCCAATACTGAACAAAGATGCCAGGGCATCAAGCTACCAGTGATCAGCACCACAATGTCCTTCGACACACCAACTGGGACAGCCTCACCGTCCAGCACGGCCGACCCCAGTGGTAGTGGTCAGGGTGGAAGCAGTCTTAGTGGTGGCGCCATAGCTGGCATCGTCGTTGGTGCTATCGCGGGCCTGGCCCTTCTTGGCGTCGTTCTATTTTTCTGCATCCGCAGAATGAAGCGATCTAAAGGGAGCCAGCAAGGCAGTATTTTTAACCAACCATCCCCAGCAAGGCAAGGCCCCCCCAGCATGACTCATGTGTCTCAGGAAGCCCCTCAGGGATATGAAGTTTTGCCTGGCGGACGCATCGCACGTATGTCGGCTTTGGAAGGTCACTCTGGAGATTCCTCATCCCAACACCATGGCAAATCAATGTCTGCTACAGGAGGTAGCATGGCTGCTGGGTACGCGGGTGGCCGTCGAAAAGACAGCCAGACCCAATCGTCATCTGAGTTTGGTGACGACTCGGAGCCCCGGATGAGTGTGTTGCGACCACCTCCTTCGACGACAAGAAGAAATGGGTCGCTGTCGAGTAATTCCATTTTTGGAACCTCGGTTCCACAGTCACCCAGTAGTGCTGGTGCGGCATCACCTTTGGGTGTGGGTAGTCAACAGTCTGAGCAGCTGCCCTACTTCAAGGACTACTATTCCCAAGATGACATCCATCCCGGTGATTCAGTTGCTGTTCTCTGGGCCTACCAACCCCGTGCCTCAGACGAGTTCGCTCTCGAGAGAGGTGATATGCTCAAAGTTGTTGGTATCTGGGACGATGGGTGGGCGACGGGTGTGTTGGTTGGTGAGCGTGCGGAGGAATGGGAGGCAAGAAGGGAAGCTCAACGTGACAGCGGTGTGTCGCATGCATCTGGACGGCGGGACAGCTCCGCTGCAACATCTGGGGAGATCAAGGCGTTCCCTCTGGTATGTGTGTGCTTGCCAGCGCACTGGAGAAAGACGATTGAGGGTGACGGCTCGACAGAGACTGGTTCCACCAGCCACAATCCCTACGCAGCCTTGGCTTGATGAACTCGTCTACAAGTTCCGCAGATCAATGAGACGGCCTCACAGAAAACATTCGACATATTCATACACTGCAATGACACGCCTAATGCCCATTCTCTTCATTATACGAGCACGAAACTTACTGATTCGATATTAATTGACATTGCATCATGAGCTGCAATCGGCGCAAGATGTCAGCACCACCGGGTGATGCCTCTGGCTGATGAAGATCCAGTTTGTTTTCGGAATAACTGGCAGGCAGCCTCATCCAACCCATTAATTCGATTCGTTTGCTTATTTATCACCTTATATACCCGGCAGCGCTTCTGCCAGCGGAGTTTTGATATTCTAGAGGGACTGGGGGAGCTTCAGCAGCCGACTTACTTGAATACCGACTGATCCTGAAGCGAACTGTGGCTTGCTGATGGATTGATTTGTTTCAAGGCCATTCTGCAAGCATGGAGGAAAGTGTAAAGGAAGACGATCAGAGCAGGCATTACATCCTTACCCCGTTGACGTACTAGGTATTTATTTATACTGTTAGACATAGCCTGGCACCCTCGATTTACTTAAGTTTAAATAGCAAGAAGATTTTGATTTTATCCTATTTCTCGAGCTCAAATACATGCGTGATCATGCGTGACTTGATGTACCTAAATAATGATGGTGCGCAAGAGAGAGATGAACTTGCCAATAGGCGGAGCGTTTGGGCCAAGAGTAGGGAGTACTGTCATTGATGTTCATTACTTGTGGTGCTTATCTTAGTAGGAAGTAGGGGGGCAAGTGGGCGTCAGAATAACAGGGACTGCGAAGGTGGTTCAATCCCAACTTTCCAATACAGGCCACGATATTGATAGACGATAGTCAATAATGATAATAAACTATTGAGTAACTATTAGGCGATATTATCTATTTATTGTTACACAATAGGAAGCATTATCATGTGACTGACTGCCACAATCATTCTGTTGAGGTGCTTTTGCAGTCCCTGTTTTTGTGACAGCCACTTGGCGGGGTAGCAGCCAAGTCTGATCGATCTCCCCAAACACTGAAACTTTAACCTCCAGGGCTGCCTTCAATTGCATCCTGATTTAGGTCGTGCTGCACAAGGAAGCCATTATCTCCATATTGGCAACTCAGCGCATGATCATCTTATTGAAACTGCACACATCTGCTCTGTCCAGTCCAGCATGGCAGACCAAGTGAAGGCCGACGCAGAGGCCCTTGTGCCAAAATTCAAGCTGGAGCGGGTGCTCAACCAAGGTATGCGTAACCCAGTTTTGAACCACGCGACCCCCCCGTGCAATTGCGGCCCATCTCTTTTCATGTATGATGGAAGAAGAAAGTTTCCAAGTCTAATTTTGTCTCCAAGACCAGGCTGGCAGACGAGCGTCCCTGTACGGGGCGATCGATGGGAAGGCGGCGCTGCTCGTGCTGGAGAGGGCCCCGTTCCCCGAGTCGGAGGCGTACCTGGGGAGCGTGCCGGCGTCGCTGGCCAGGCTGAAGAACCTGGGAGCCAACGACATCTACCATTGGTACATGGCGAGGGGCGGTGGCGGCAGCAGCAACGGCGAGGGGGAGGACTTCTTCGCGGATCTGAAGATCAACCTCATCTACCCGTGCACGGAGGCGCATGTCAGGAAGTACAGCAAGCAAGGGGTGCGGTTCGTGACTGAGACGCCGGAGATCTACGAGCAACATGTGCGACCATACATGCAGAGCAAGCGAGAGGCTGGCCGCCTCAACTGGGTATTTAATATTCTAGATGGGAAGACTGAGGTAGAGGACGTTATATACAGAACGGCACCGTGGGGCCAGGAGGACGAGAAAGATAAGGAAGGATTCCTACTGCTGCCGGATCTGAACTGGGACCGCACGACGCTCGAGGCGCTGCACCTGCTGGCGCTGGTTGAGCGGCGAGATCTCTGGTCGCTCCGGGACCTGAAGAAGAAGCACGTCGAGTGGCTTCGCCACATGAAACGGAACTTGATCGAGGCGACAACGAAGACGTATCCCTCGATCGAGGCGGACCAGCTGAAGCTATATGTGCATTACCAGCCCACCTACTATCACCTACACGTGCACATCGTTCATGTTGCGCTCGAGGCGGGGGGCACGCAGGCGACTGGAAAGGCGGTCGGACTGGAGAGTATCATCGAAACCCTGGACAAGATGGACGGGGATGACGAGGCAGGGATGGATGGTGTGTCGATGAGCTTTACGCTTGGGGAGCAGAGCGAGATATGGACGGAGATATTCGAGCCGATTAAGAAGAGTGGGACAGTTTCTCGATCGCAATGACGAGGTCATTGACGCCAGCTCCGTGTGGGCAGTCGATCCATTCGCCGCCATCGCGGATACAGTATGTCTCGTTGTTCAGTCGGATCGTGCAGCTGATGGTTACGCCAGCCTAGAGATGCCATGTTAGAATTCCGGAACAGAGGACACGAAGGATAAAGGGGGAAATATAGATATAAAGATAGGAAAAAGCTGGGGAAAAGAGATGACGAGTTTCGAGAGTTACCTCAGCTGTTCTTTCGATGCTGGAGCGCAGCAACTGCATGCCGTGAGCTCCGTCATCGCGGGTAGCGCATTCGTTGAGTTGTTGGAAATCGATGGCATGTTCGAGAGCGCAGTCCTCGATCAGAGACCTATCAGGGATATGCTTATAGTCCTTGGTAAGGCACATCACGAAGCCGAGGCTGATCTTGGGATCGGGGTAGAGTTCGCTGGCGCAGAGCTCGATGATATTGCCCATGCATTCGGAAGGGCCGTGCTTGCACTGGACGCCGTCATTGGCGGTAGGACTGTTGAGAAGAACCAAGACAGCTTGTGTAAGCAATAAGGTTTCACCGATAAGGCAATGTGGTGTGGCTCACGTTCCGATATAAGAGAGTCTGAAGTCGACCTTGTCATGGACTCGCATCATGGCTGGGAGAATCAATTCCCGAAGGGCATCCTACGAAAAGCATATCAGCATCACCGCTTCGCAGGTCCCCTGGCGCTTCCCAGAGATCACTGGAGGGCTTACTCTTGTATCTGGGCATTTACTAATGATGTGCGCCTCCAGAGGCACCAAGGCCTTCTGGTCTACTGGGCTGGATTCTGGTGTGGGGGGAGAAGGCTGAAGCTGGATGGAGAGGGGTGAGGACAAGGTCCAGGAACGCCATGAGTAGAAAGTGACGGTGAAGAGGATGAAGAGGGCGACTACGGCGCGGATGGACGCGCGTGAGGCGGCCATGATGGGCGAGTTGACGGTGGGTGTGTTGTAGACGTAGGGCGCCTTCTCATCCATCTTGGTTCGAGTGTGGTTGGGGTAAGGTGGTAGGAAGGAAATTGGCTTGGCGCATCTCCGATCGGTCGCCTGGAGAAGATGGGTACGGCCTTTACTGGGCGGGCTCAAGGCCGAGATGTGCTTGTTTTCTGGGCTCTTGCAGCTGCTGAAACAAAGTTTGGTGGCCTGTGCAGCAGTACTGGGTACATAAGGTACAGGCAGTAGCGCCTGCGCCCGCCCTTGATCAATGGGGCTGTAGGTACTAGTACCCGCCGTCAACCCATTCCAAGCCGACGGTCTGATTCTGATGCAATGCAACGGGACTTCCCCCCATTGATTTCGCATAAACATGGATGGGTAAGGTGTAGCTGATGAGACTGCGCCAAAGGCAATCGGGGGACGGACAGAGTCAAGCTTCTTGTTTGATCATGCGGTGGAAGGCAAACATCAATTATGATTGGGCGCCTTTGGTATTTTTCGAGGTATCGATTCCTGGGCCTAGACCTAGCCCAACTCAGCTCACTTCTCGATAGTTTGAGCAGATAGCGTCATATGGTTCCGTTTGGAATGCCCGCTATGATGGATTTAGGGATATACTGAGGTGAGAGGTATTACGAGCATTATTTAGGCTCGTCGGTTGTAGAAGGTACCGCTTCCTAAAACACCAAGAGGACAATTTGGAGGGGAAGGGCAAGGAGGTGCATTCAGGTCGAGACACCAAGCTGCCAAAGAGCCGGCCGATCAGTTCATTGTTGAACCAGCCCCGCGCGTGATGATACATAAGGTTGGGCAGGGAGGTAAATATGACTGTTGTTGGCCATGAGAATTGTCGATGATTTCCGTTTAGGGCTTTTGGTTGTCTATCGAGCACCAAGCTTATCCCGGGTGCCCCTCCATCAAGCCAGGCGCCTGAAGCTTTATTTAGCAGGTTCTGTGACATCTCGCGAAGCTGCAGCCCTGATCTGGCAGATCGTCTAGCCGCCGCGGGCGATGAAGGAGGTCAGAAGTAGGTGCTACTGATCTCGGGCGGCAGTGGTTGGTACAGCAGGCAGGTACCGCGTACAGCGCACCCCTTCCATTGAAATAGTGGCAGCGGCCGGCAGCTCACAGCACGCATGGAACGTCACATTGGCCTGCAGCCACTGAAATACAACCTTGTCACCACTGTAGATTCAATTCGCAATTCAAGGCACGCGAGCACGCGGCTTGGCTCTGGCTCACACAGCCTCATCAGCACCATTACCCCGGTCTGCCCAGCCCAAGGAAGTATCTCAAGGACCCTGCGTCTACTTCCTCTCGCAGCGAGATCCTCAGCGATTGATACATATCATTTCATTTCGGGTCGTCCATTGATTTTCAGTTGACCATCTCACTTAAGTACTTACGCTTTGACATTTAGTCTGCCACTGCCACATTCCGTCCTCGTAGGTACCGGTACCCAACTTACTGCGCCCCCGAGACACGCCGTCTTGTACCGCCCAGCTTAAGCCAATTGAAGCCCCTCCCTTCACTCTGTCGCCACGCTTCACGCCATCAAGAAAGGTAGCTGTCACTCTATCTGGAACCTAAAAATCTAAAAAAAAGTCATAAACTATATTACGACACTGGCTTGGTGCTCTGGACAAGCTGCAGCTGTAAAATATTGTGTATTTTACCCTGTCTGGTCCAACCTCCAAGCTTCCCCATCACCCGTCTCTCTCATCAACTGATTCAACCAACCAGCGAGAGTGACCACGCCTCACCTCTCTCTATTCCTTTCACTGCATTTCCAACATGGCTGCTTCCAGGGAGACCCAAATCGAAGGCTTCCTCAAGCCACTCCACGTGGATATAGACCAGATTCACGACCTCTCCAACAGATTTCTCTCAAACTTCCATAAACTTGCTGCAGAATCCACAGACCAGTTTTTGGGCACTCCCATTTCGGAATCGATCTTGAGACCAGTGAACAAGAACGCTCAAGGACGGTAAGGTTCTGAGCAACAGAGTTGGCTCAACACCCGAAAGTGACGATATGTGAGGCTAACATTCAGTACCAGACACCTTGCCATAGACATGTAATGGATGACCCTATCTCGCTAGAGCGCTTACCATTACTTTCATGCTTGCTGACACAGTTGACAGTGGTGGTACGAACCTGCGGGTCGGTTTTGTTGAGTTCTGTGGACAGGACCCTACACAGGTACCCAATGGCGAGCAGCAAAATGGTCTTGCCAAGGGAGAACCTGAACGCATCAAGCGGGTTCTGGAGAGGTCATGGCCCATCGCCAACCATCTCAAGAACGAGAATGCCGAAAGGCTGTTTTTCTGGATAGGCAGTTGCATCGCTCAAGTTGTGCGGGAGGGCTGCAAGAAACTGAACTTACCTCACGATAAGCCTATCCCCCTAGGCGTTACGTTCAGTTTCCCAATGGAGCAGCTGTCTCTCACCGAAGCCACGCTGATGTCGATGGGCAAAGGATTCAATATCCCGGCGAATCTTGACCTTGCATCTCGATTCTTGGCCGGCTATGCAAAAGCCAACGACGGCAGCCTGCCAAAACTCACCATTGCTGCCATCGCCAATGACGCTGTCTCGACTCTCGTGTCATTCATCTTTAAGTACGATGAAAAGCTGAAGAGGAGGGCAGCTATGGGTATCATCCTCGGTACGGGCAGCAATGCCACCGTGCCCCTCAAGCTCAGCTCTCTGCATCCAAGCAAGCGCCCTGCAAACGTGAGCATTCTTCCCGGGGAGTCTCTGGAGGACGTCAGGATCGCGGTGAATACAGAATGGAGTATCAATGGCACTCTGCCCCCGATGAGAGAGTTGGGCCTCATCACTCAGTGGGATAAGATTCTGGACGCGCAGAACGAGACCCCCGGCTTCCAGCCCTTGGAATACATGACTGCGGGCCGCTACCTCGGCGAACTGGGACGCATTGTTCTCGTAGACTACATTACCAGTGTCATGAACATCCCTCGAGAGACGCTACCTCAGAAGCTGCTCCAGCGGGAAAGCGTGACTACCACTTTCGTCAGCCACTTCAAACCTCTGGAACCGCCAGTTCTTCTTGGAAAGCTTAGGCAGGAGTTCCCAGAGTCAACAGCCGGGCGCGGCTTTGCCTGGACCGAAGAACTCGCCGAGGTCCTGTACAAGATATCCAAGGCCATTGAAATCCGAGCGGCTGGCATCATTGCCGCCGCTACCGTGGCCCTGCTGATGCTAGCCGATGAACTCCCACAAGATGCTTCGGGCCTGAGACCCGACATGGAAGAGTTGGGTGTGGGTTACACCGGCGGCTGCATAGTCCACTTTCAAGACTATCTCGCAGATTGCCAGCAGTTCCTGGATGAGCTTCTGGAGAAGCGATATGGCGGCAACGGACCACATCCAGCCAAGGTGGTACTGAGCCCCTGCCACGATGGAGGTATTGTAGGGGCTGGTATTCTCGTCGAGGCTGCGATCCCAAGCGAGAATGCCGAGACTTGAAGTTCAGTAGTATTGCCAAGGACATTGCTTCTACGCGTTGTGCATGCTCCTTAGGAAAGGGTAGCCTTAGAAGAATAGATCGATCCATGTGAAGCCCAATGGTTTTTGAGGATTCCAAGATGATTTTCACCTAGGCGAAGGCCATTTAATACCTCCGTCACGGGGTCGATATCGTCATATTGTAGAGAAATCGTCGGATTCAACAAGTTATGAAATGGATCTGGGAGGATTTAGACTCAAAGAATTGTCACATTCAAGATAAAATTGTTTTTGCAGGTAGTATGTGTGTGTGTGAGATATGCTCCCACCGCCCCAAATTGAATTTGTATTGCTCCCCCTGAAATGAATTTGCACATTATTATTTTACAAACGCCGCGTTCGAGATGAGAAATTGTCCCCCTCCTCAGTGGGCACCGTTGACCTGCCCATCGGTCATCAGAGCATCCAATTCCTCCTTTGCCAGTCGATACGCATCTTGCGCCTCCCTCTCGCGACGATTCACAGCACCGACTTCCTCCCTCAGACTGTCGAGGCGACGGGTGATGGCCACTTCCTCAGAAACGGCGAGCGTCTTGAAGCCGCTGAGAGCGTTCGTAGCCTTCTCGAGGGCCTCGGCGGCCTCGGCGGTCTTGTCGCGCAGCATCTTTTGACGCTTCTGGTAGCCTCCCAGATGCAGACCAAGCTTCTTCTCGAGCTTGGCCCCTTGCTCGGCCGAAGCCATGATGGAATCCTGTACAGACTGGATAGGCGCATGTTAGCGGGCTATTTCTTTGATACGGAATCGCATACCTAGATTGGATATGACGGAATGGGGGGAATGGTAAACTTACATCAAAGGCTAGCCTCAGAGCAGCATGATGCTCCTCCTCATCGTCGTCATAGCACCCCAAGCTAAGAAGAGTGGCGTTGTTAGAGCGACTTTCGAAGGTATTCTGGATATCGGAAAAGGAAGGCAGAGATTTGGTCTCTGACAAAATGAGGAGACGGGCGTTGGCAAGGGACTCGTCGTCGATGGTCGGGATAGGCACGTGCTTGCCTCTGAGCTTGGAACCCGCCAGAGGGTATCTCGAAGCATCATTGGCCATCAGCTTGGCCGCCTCCTGTGCGATCAGAATCTCGGCCGGATTTGACAGTTCCCCAGCCTTGCTCAGCATGGTTGGTAAATCGACCAGCAGAGGCCGGGGCAAGCTTTTCTGCATCACCTGTGTCCGTCTCCGCAGCTCGAGAGCTTCCTCTGCCGCTCGTCTTTCCTGGTTCCTGCGGTCGCGCTCTGCAGCATCCTCCTCCAGTAGATTGTCGTCCAATTTTGATTCTGTCTCTTCATCTGGAATCTCGAATTCCCACTCTGTATCCTTTGGCTTTGGAAGAGACGCTAGGCTGGAGCGGACGGATTTCCTCAAGGCAAGATCACGCATCCGAATATCTCGGGGTGTAGCAGAGGCCATCGATGAGCCGTCGTCTTGATTCAAGGCGTATGCATCACGAGGAGTCCGCATTGGTGTTTGCCCAGGCTGGCCACCCACACCGTTGCGAAGGGGGGTAGCCATAGGGTTTGGTGTTGCTATGACCTGTCTGCGAGGTGCGATTCCTTCGAATCCAGTGCCCTGGGCTTGATAAAGAGGTGTGTTCTCGCCACCAAGAAGAGCGGATTGGGTCTCGTTTAATGCGCGGATATTTCGAATCTCGTTGGCGATATAGTCTTCTGCCTCTGGGGCCTTTGGCGTGCGGATAGGAGCTGTGTTGTTGATGGCGGAATATGAATTGACCAGACCTCTCGTAGCATCATTATCGCCTTCTCTAGCCAGCGTATTTGCCGTCTCTCCTATTTTGCCCATTTTGATAATCTCTTCCAGTTCCCCCTCGCCGACCTGCGGCGCGGGAAGGTTGAGCGATCGTCGCTTGCTGCTTTGCTCTGCTTCTCGGATCTTTTGCATCTGCCCAGCCTTGATTGCTGCTTTCTGCGATTCAGACAGGCCGTCCTTTTCATTCTTGCGTCGCTTGCGATCGCTATCGTCATCTCCATCCCCCTTTCGTTTACTCGTCAGCTGCTGCTTCGCAGGGTCGAAAGCCTTTCTTTGTTTTTCATTAAGTGTTTGTTCTTCGGCTGTGTCGTAGAATCCAAGCGCTGGTTTCTTCTCGAATGGAATGTCGGCATTGTAATCCATCTCCCCCTTCTTGCGAGTCGTGACCTTGATATTGATACCGGCCGTCTTCAACTCTCGTCGCTTCTGCAGGGTGGCGAGACGGCGCGACTCTTCCTGTTGACGCTCACGAGCCTTTCTCTTCGCCTTCTTACCCTGGGTGTTGGCAAGACGCGCGCGAGCTTCGCTCAGCATCTCCTTTTCGTCTTCATCGAGATCGATCGTGTCGGGGCGCGCAGGTTTTGTCTCCGGGTCAGGGTCGAGCTCTCCCGGGCGCAGGCGCCTCACATCGTCTGCGCTGGGCGCTTGAGTCTCTCCCCCCTCGGGGCCGGTGAGGCCAAGCCCAGACGACTCGCGGGCTTCGGCTTCGTCCAGCAGCTTCTGGTATCGCTCAAGACACTGGTTCGCAGTTCGGCCGACGATGGGAGCGATTGTGCGCCACTGGGTGGGCATAATCTTTGCGAGGTGCAGAAGCTTCTCATCCTCCTCCTTGCTCCATTCGATCTTCTTGATGCTGGGGTCGAGCCATTCGTTCCATCGCGCTTTGCACTGTTTCGGGGTCTTACGCGCCAGCAACGACGAGACACGCGCCCACTGGTTGAGGCCATACTTGGAGACGGAGGCCTTGAGGATTTCATCCTCAATGTTCGTCCACACTCCTCCCTTGACGACGGGCATCTTGGCGGCTTGGGAGTAGATGGAGAGGGGTGGAAGAAATGTTGGCTGCCTCGAGTCGTTCAGCCCAGCCTTGCAACAAAATCCCAAGCTTTGGCTCACAAGCTTGCCATCTAGTTTATTTCGCTTAGTCAGACTACCAGGGCTGTAATTGGCTGCTGCTTCAGTTTGACATCTCGCGGCTGAATCAATGTCTGGCCCCACCTTGACTGACTTGATTGGCTTCCAGTGAATTATGGGTCAAAAACCCAGGCTTGACGTCGGCATATGGCCGTCAAGATGTTCAGGTTCTGAGGTGATATGCATTCATACTCTGGTTGGCATTGGCTCATCCCCCCTTCATTACTTTTCGAAACATCTCACACGAAAAAGCTTCATAGAAAAATTCTATCTTCTTTTGCAAGGCTCGTTTCTAGAGAAGGCACGTGCACCTGCCGATAACCAAGTAAACAAGCCGAACTCGTGAAACTTCATTAGCTCTACAGGAATTCGATATCACCGCTTGAGGCCCCAAGATTCATGGAAAGCAGAAGATAGATTACTCTACAGAAAATCAGATAGGAAATCGTCTGATATCGGGTATCCCATCATCTTTGTCGAGGCAGCATTCGTTCTGTCAAACCTCACTAGGACTACAGGTACTGGCGGTGGGCTGCAAGCGATTAGATAGTGGGGGCTTGGCTGAGTCATATCCCAACGCGGTTCTCACATGCGTCAGTCGCGTTAAGTAGCTTTTTTTTTTTCTCCCCGCCGTGAATTCTGAGATTTTCCTTCCTCCCCCCCAAAACTACCAACGAAAGTTTTTGACAACCTACCGTCAAAATGAAATACGTTCTAGTTTCGGGAGGTTAGTGCTGGCTGAATTGCTGTACATGCTCAAAAATGTTAACCAAATGGTCGAAATAGGTGTCATCTCCGGTGTTGGCAAGGGCATCATCGCCTCCAGCACTGGTCTTCTCCTCAAGTCCATTGGTCTCACAGTTACGAGCATCGTACGTTCAGCGCAGTTTGAGTCCCCTTGTATAACCTGTAGAAGCATCCAATATACCCTTCATTTATCTTGCGATCCAAATCTCATTGTTAAATCGTAACAAAACATTCTTACTCAACGTGCTGACCATAAATTTTCCGTGAATCCAGAAAATCGATCCATACATCAATATCGATGTAAGTAGGCAATGGTCGATTCCAAATATCCAAATGTCTAACCCAATGGCACAATAGGCTGGAACCATGTCTCCCATCGAGTTCGTACTGCACCTGTAGCTTCCAACGACTGATGTGCTGACCTGTTGTTACCCTCCAGACATGGTGAGGTCTACGTAACAGATGGTATGTTTGCACCCTAGAAAGAAGGTATTGGCTGAGATTGTTTGCTAATTTGTTGGACATTAGATGGAGGAGGTATGAGTTCTCAAAAGCTATTATTAAAGTACGACCATCAGTTGCTTACACCGCCTAGAAATGGATCTTGATCTTGGAAACTACGAAAGATACCTCCTCACCACACTCACCAGAGACCACAACATCACGACCGGAAAGATTTACCAACATGTCATTGAGCGTGAACGTATTGGAAAGTATCTAGGAAAGACGGTCCAAGTGTAGGTTCCGTGTATTCGGCGAGGTGATGGGTGTTTTGTTGACGACAATAGTGTTCCTCATATCACCAACGCCATTCAAGATTGGATTGAGAGGGTTGCCAAAATTCCAGTTGACGAGTCTGGCCGTGAGCCCGACGTTTGTATCATTGAGTTGGGTATGTTGGAGCGCTTCCAGAGTGAAGTCGAAAGCTAACACTCGTGATAGGTGGTACTGTTGGAGATATCGAGAGTGCTCCGTTTATTCACGCCGTCAGTCAGCTTCAAAGACGTGCTGGCAAGTCGAATTATGCACAGATCCACGTATCATACGTTCCAGTTATACCGTAAGGATACAGTTTGGCCGACCTGATGGCTGTTCGTACTAATCGCTTTCTAGGCCGGGACCTGGTGGTGAGCAAAAGACCAAGCCCACCCAGAGGGCTGTAGGCGACGTCCGAAGCGCTGGCCTCAACCCAGACCTGGTTTGTGGCTACCCCCTCCCTTCTAGGAAGAAACGAACATGGATTAAACGACCCCCCTCTATTAGATTGCCTGTCGCTGCGAGCAGCCGCTTTCCGAGATCACCATCGAGAAGATCGCCAACATGTGCCAGATGGAGCGAAAGCAGGTCATTGCTGTGCACAACGTATCGACAACATACCACGTCCCGCTACTCCTCGAGAAGCAGAAGCTCGTGAACACTCTCATCGACCTCCTCGATCTTGGGGCTGTGCACAAACCGACCGAAACAGTTGCCAGGGGCGCCGAGATGTGGAAAACCTGGATTGAATTGACTCGCGGCCAGGACAATATGCACGACACGGTGTCGATTGCTCTTGTTGGCAAATACACATCGCTTCACGACGCTTATACGAGTCTTTCGAAGTCCTTCGAGCATTCTGCCATGTACTGCCGCAAGAAGCTTAAGGTGATCTGGGTTGATTCAGGACATCTCGAGGACGAAACTTTGGAGGTCTCTCCTGCACAGTTCCATAAGGCTTGGCACGACGTCTGCACTGCTGACGGTGGTAAGTGGTCAGAACAACTCTAGCGTTGTGGTGATGGAAGGCTAAATTTCTTAACAGTATGCGTCCCTGGCGGGTTTGGTGTCCGATCTACCGTGGGCATGATGAAGGCAATTACATGGGCGCGTACCAAGAAAATTCCCTTTTTGGGCATCTGTCTCGGCATGCAGCTTGCCGTTCTTGAATATGCTCGCAATGTCACAGGAATCGAGGATGCAGGAAGTGAAGAACTGCACCCAGAGGCTAAGAACCACGCCATCGTTTACATGCCAGATGTATGTTCTTTTGCTCGTATCTTTCTCCATTTTGCCACATATTGACACCGATTACTAGGTCGACAAGTCGAAGCTGGGTGGAACAATGCGTCTAGGAAAGCACCCCTGTATCTTCCAGGAGGGTACTGAGTGGTCCAAACTGCGGGCTCTGTACGGATCTGCACCCCAGATTCTGGAGCGCCACCGACACCGATATGAGGTCAACCCAGCCATGGTTGAACAGATCGAGTCGTCTGGGCTCTCTTTTGTGGGCAAAGACACCAAGGGTGAGCGTATGGAGATCATCGAGATCAAGGACCACCCCTGGTTTGTCGGAGTTCAGTTCCATCCAGAATACTTGAGCCGAGTTCTGTCGTGCAGCCGGGTAAGTCGCCTCTCTTTATTCCCCATATTGTAGTCAAGAACTGACAAATCGCATAGACGGTCCTGGGATTCTTCGCTGCCTCTGCAGGCTGCCTTGATGAGGTTACGGAAAAAATAAGCAAAGAGGAATAGTCTATTACTGACCGCGTGAGCTGAGCGTGGAGATAGAGACGGATGGCAGATAGAGTGCCTACATTGATGTTACACACTAATACCAAGAATCTTTTCAGAAAACTACTGAGCTATGGGTGGTACATTTTTATAGAAGCAATCAATAAAATATTTGGTTTCTCGTGTGACCACACCATCACACTTGAGAAAAGGATTACTTACGTCATGCGTATAAAATGGCTGGTAAATAACATGCCGTGCTACTCGTACCTGCGTCAGCTGTCATGGGTGCAGGAATCAATACATAAATGACATGTAATGGAGCTGATCAGAACTCACACATGTCGCTTTCTGATACAAAACCAAAAGGGGCAATTTCACTGCCATGCGGCCCTTCGCAGGGTCTCAACCACAATTGGCGAAGCTGCAGGTGCCATTGGGCTCGGATTTCAATCCCGGTGCGGAGGATCAAGATGATGCTTAGAAATCTGATCTATCTAAAAACGATGCGACAAGGATGTGGTTGGCTGGAGCACCACCCACGTTATCTATCGACGACCCTGCCAAGTTGCCTACCTAGATAGGACGGCTGAACGGTGTCGTGTCGTAGGGACTATGTCATTGATTTGCTGGCACTCGTACCCATGTTTCGAAGGCCATTCCGGTCGAATGCGAGGATATGATTGAAATCGCAGGGTGAACAACAATGTCTCAAGGGGGCATCATTACGTGCTGGCGATTGATTAGCACACGACACCTCACTGATTTCCCCCCACTCGGAACCGCTGGCCAGGTGTCCCGAGGAGCCGAGCCCAAGATCAAATCCGCCCTCTAACTCCGCTGTTGGTGTCTGTCTGTATTAGCTGCCGCTCGGCGACTTTAGTATCTATTGCGTCCTTGATTTGATCCCTGGCGCCTTTTCCCTACAATACGCTGCGTCCCCCTTGCTCTGGGCCCATCCCCATTTCCTTCGTTGCTTTATAATTATCATCACATATTGCGCAATATAAGTACGTACGCCGGGCTGGCAAAGGGATCGGAATGCACAATCGGACTTTGTCGGCGCCAGTGATACGAACGGTCAGCACCCGCTTGAACCCCGAGATCCGGACCTCTGACCTCAACCGCCGGCCGGCCTAGTTGGAAGGTAAAACTCGCCTCTTGCGTTTCGTTGGGCGTGCTCCGGGAATAGGCACACGATGGGACGGGCAGGTGCGCCAAGCATCGGTGATGCGACAACCTGGCGCAAACGCGCCTCCAACGGCGTCACCGAGGTGGACGCGACGGAAACCACTGCGCTCCTCAGCCCCGACAATGAAAGTGGGAGCACCGGTGGCTCAGGGAAGAAGGCGGATCGATGGGATGGCTTGGACGATTTCGTGGATACGCCCTGGTGGCGTAAACCTTCTGTATGAGGCCCTTCTATTGTTCCCCTTGGCCACTGCTGCGGTCTGCATGAGATGACAGCGCCCCTCTAACAACGAATAGGTCTACTGGCTTCTCGTCCCTTACTTCATCTTCACCTTGGCGTTTGGCGGTGCCTTGGTTCCCAAGCTCAACTTGTATGTTTTGCCTCTGCAAATGGACCATATTCGTGAGCAAACGAGCTAACGTTCAGAAATCAGAATCCTATCATTCATCTGTAAGGAGCACTTTAATCAGAGCGATTCCGACCCGCCTGCTCTTCCCGTCTTCATCGGGGGTGAAAACCCCCAGTGCAAGATCCCGGAAGTTCAGAGCAAAGTGGCAACCTTCACCCTTATCATGAACTTCTTGACAGGGCTGTTGAGTGCCATTGTCGTGCCCATCTTTGGCTCGCTTTCGGATAGGTATGGCCGCACCCGGCTGATGGCTCTGGCCTCGTGTGGCGGCGTCCTCGCCGAGATCATTACCCTCCTTGCCGCCAAGTACCCGGATGTCATCAACTACCGCTGGCTCATCCTGGGTAGCGTCTTTGATGGCATGACCGGATCCTTTACCGCCGGTAGCCTCTTGACACAGTCGTACACCAGCGACTGCACTCCCCCATCTAAGCGTGCAGTGTCCATTGGCTATCTCCACGCCTGCCTCTTCACCGGACTGGCGTTTGGACCTCTTTTGGCCGGGTACTTTGTCAAGTGGACGGGGAGCCTGCTCTCTGTCTTCTATGTCATTGTCGCCTGCCATATCCTCTTCATTTTCTTCGTGGGCCTGGTCATTCCAGAGTCCCTGTCCAAGAGAAGACGACTGGCTGCGCAGGAGATCTGGGCCAAAGGATGGCAAGAAAGAGCCCGGTCATTTGTACCGTGGGTGTCGAGGGTCAAGGGCGCGAACCCTCTCGCGCCTTTGAAAGTGCTCTGGCCCACTGGCCCCGGAACTTCTCCTCGCCTCCGGCTCAACTTGGTGTCGCTCGCAGTATCAGACATGATTATTCTTGGATCATCGGTAGCCGTGGGGCCTGTCATCATCCTCTACAGCGAGTACAGGTTTAATTGGGGCACGTTGGAGGCGTCCATATTCGTCTCCGCCATCTCCCTGACTCGCACAGTCATTCTTCTGATCATCTTCCCTGCAGTGAATTATTTTGGGCGAGTTCGACCTGCGCAGCGCCGGCGAGCGCTCGGCATAGTTTCCCACGAGACCAACTCCGGTGCCGACAGCCTCGACATATGGGTGATCCGCGTCGCAACAGCGGGGGAAGTCCTTGCCTGCATTGGTTATTCCCTGGCCCAGAATGGCCACGCGTTCTTCGTCAGCGGCATGGTGGCCGCCATGGGCGGGCTCGGCAGCGCAAGCATCCAAGCAGCCATCACCAAACATGTGCCCTCGGATAAGGTCGGGCAGGTCCTTGGCGCTATCGGTATGCTCCATGCGCTTTCCCGGGTCATTGGGCCCCTTGCGTTCCAAGGCCTCTACGCCGCGACGGTCAAGACTCTGCCGCAGGCGTTCCTCATGGTTCTTGGGGGCTTTTTCTGCGTAGCTTTCACGGGTGCCCTGCTTCTTAAACCACATGGTAAGTTCTCGATCTTATGAGCAGCCTGCCATCTCACGTTGCGACGTATTTGCTAACCTTAAACCCCCTCAAGTCCATTGGGCTACGCAGAGTGAAGAAGAAGAGGAGGCAGAACAATTAACCCCGAGCGAAGAGATTTTAGGTGCGAACTCGCGACACACCCTCCCTATCGATGAGGATCAAGTGACCATGCGGTAGGGGGATAGTTCTTGATGGATACCTATTTTTTACATATCTACCTCGGAACTGCGTGTGGATATTCGGTTCATATTTGGATTAGACTGGTGATCGTACATTTTAGCTCGCAGTGTTTATAATATTAGAGAGAAGTTCATATCTTATATCAGCGTGCCTGGGAGAAACGATTTTTCAAATACTCATCCCGACTAACCTTTTTTTTGCTAGAGAAAGTAGAATGTGGAGTTATGGCAGGCGATCGTTTCCTTTTTTAAAATCATGATGCAGAAGTCTTAATTTTACCATCTTCATGAAATAGGAAAATCGTTCAACTGGGAGATATTCCTCGAGAGGTTGCAGCTATGAGGCAAGTGGGGCGGACGGATTGTTTGCTTAACCTTTGTGTTGCTCTTCCAACCTCCATGTCACACTCTTACCTCATCAATCCATTACACCGAGAAAATACGGTTATCGCTCCCAACCATCGAGCCACACTCATCCTACCCTCTTACATTCAATTGGTCTAATCAAATCCAGCCATTTGGATTTGGCGTTTACTTGAGTGCAAGATTATGCCCCTTCCCAATCTCAGCTTCTCCAGACAGTTTTCCTCGACTCTACTTCGGGCTAGGAAAATGGCCTCAACACGGCTCGATGGGACTCGAATTAAATTTGGGCCGTTCGAGGTCACCAACCAGGTGAGTACAGTAACAGACGTCAGTGCGATTGGATTTTTTGTATAAGTATGCAAGAACACATGAGAAAAAGGCGTCCTCGGGGCTGCAGACACGATAGCATAACAGTATACGATGCCTCATTCTTCCGTGCCTCTTTCACTCAAATGACTGGAGGTCCGAGGCTGACGAGAAGTTACTTTACGGATTACAGGTCTTTCTAAAAACTCCACACTCCTTTGCGCTGGTCAATCTGAAGCCTCTGATCCCAGGCCACATTCTCGTGTGCCCTCTGAACCCGCACCGCCGGCTGACAGACCTGACGGTGCCCGAGCTGACCGACCTCTTCACGACGGTGCAGCTGACGCAGCGCCTGCTCGCGAAGCTCTACTTCCCCGAGAACAACCCGGACGTGGGAAGCTTCAACGTGGCGCTGCAGGACGGGCCGGAGGCGGGTCAGACGGTGCCGCATGTGCATGTGCATGTGATCCCCAGGACGCCGGATGACTTGCCGCGTAATGACGAGGTGTACGCGGGAATGTCTGGCGAGGATGGCAACGTAGGCGGCGCAATGTGGGACGAGATGAAGCGACCTGTTCCGGGTGGGGCGATGCCACAGATTGAGGACGAGGACCGGAAGGCAAGGTCAGAGGCCGAGATGGCTGAAGAGGCAGAGAGATATAAGGTCGCGTTGAGAGAACTGGGTGTCGAGTAGGGGGTCCCGGGGGGCGCTATCAAGTAGAAATGAGCGATTATGATTGAACTGGCACTGACCCCAAGCTTTCCCGGGCATAGGAAGACATGCAGCGCGGGATCTGCCACCGCTATCGACTTATCAACTAAGTAATTAAGGGATATCACATGTCAGCTTGAACCGGATGGTCGAACCTTGATACCAAGTGATGTGTGTGAAAACCAGCCTCTGCAAAATGCATCCCCACTATCAGACAATCTGACAAAACTGAACCCCCTCCAGCGGGGTAAGCCAGTAATTCGAGATCGATAACGATGGATTGGGGGGAAGAACCCACAAGATACCGTTTCGGCGAAATGGCGTCAACAACAGGAGGCCAATGAAGTTGAAGAAATATTGCGTCTTCGATGAATGGAAACCACAGGCCCAGAAACGATAAGACTTCCCGTGCATTAAGGTTCACACCCCAGTCCCCAAGAGGGGC